TCCACTCTCATCGGTTTTTGTAAATCCACATGCAGGAGTTGTTGTTCCGAGGCGAAGGCCCTTTTAGTTCCTCAAATGCTCGCTCCGCCTCCTCAGTCCAAACGAACTTCTTCTTACTGCTGAGACAGTCCGTAATGGGCGCCGTCAGGTGGGCAAAGTTTCGGATGAACTTACGATAGAAGTTCCCAAATCCTAGGAACCTCTGCACATCCTTCCTTGTTTTGGGTGTTTTCCATTCCAGCACCGCCTGGACCTTGCCGGGATCCATGGCCAATCCCTTGTCTGACAGGCGATACCCCAGGAATTCCACCTCCTTGGTATGAAACTGACACTTCTCCAGTTTCACCCACAGCTGGTTGGCTTGCAGCCTGCTCAACACTTCTCTGACGTCTCTCACATGCTGCTCCTCATTCTCAGAATACACCAACACGTCGTCTAAGAAGGCCACACAATTCTTGTAAAGCAAAGGCCCCAGGACGTGGTTCATAAACGATTGAAAGCATGCGGAGCCTGCTTGGAGGCCGAAGGGCATAACCAAATATTCAAATGCCCCTAAAGGGGTGAACATGGTGGTTTTCCATTCATCCCCCTTCCTTATTCGTGATCAGGTTGTACGCCCCCCTTAGGTCCAGCTTTGTGAAAATCTTTCCCTTCCGCACCCTTGTCAAAATGTCGTCAATCCTGGGCATAGGGAAGGCCACTGGTTCTGACACTGCATTTAAGGCCCTGAAGTCACACACCAGCCTCGGCTTGTTCGTGTTTTTTTATCCACAAAAACACTGGGCTGCCCCCACCGCCCTGGACTCTCTGATGAACCCTCTCTTCAGGTTCTTGTCAATGAACTCTCTTAGCTCCTGCATCTCTCTGTCTGACATGGCGTACAGCTTGCCTACAGGGAGCTGTGCCCCAGGGAGTAAATTGATTTGACAGTCAAAGGGTCTATGCGGGGGTAGTTGGTCAGCTTCCCTTTCGCTGAAGACGTCGCGGAGATCTGCGTATTGTCGTGGTACCTTCACGTTCTCCGTTACTTCAGTCCCTGCTAGGGTGGCTTGGGCCCCTGCCAAACCCTTTCCCTCTTTGCAGTGTTCTAAGCAATGTGCTGAACCAAAAGAAACCACTCTCTGATGCCAGCCCACCAGCGGATCATGTAACGCTAGCCAGCTCATCCCCAATATAATGGGAGCTCCTCCCAAGGTGGCCACATTAAACGCTATCAGTTCGGTGTGCCTTGCTACCTTCATTATCATTGGGACGGTCTGCAAGCTGACTTCTCCTCCCAACAGCTCCCTGCCATCGATCGTGGTCACCTGCAGGGGGTTGCTTAAAGGGATCGTCTGTATCTGGTGTTCAGCTGCAAACTCTTTGCTCATGAAATTGCAGGAGCTGCCTGAGTCCAACAGCGCCTTTATCTTTAGAGGGTGTCCGTTTGGCAGCTCTAGCGCCACTTCTATCACTAGGGCGGGTTTAGGAGGTTCTGGCGTGGGCACTCTCACTGCTCTTTGGCCTGGCTGCTGTGCCCCGACAGTGGCAGCCAGGCGTTGGCATTTACTTGCTCCGGTATTTCTTCCTCTCTTCCCTCCACAGCTCCTACCATCCCTTGCCATTCCTTCCTCTGGGGGCAGACTCTGGCAAAGTGACCTGGCTGTTGGCAGAGATAGCATTTCCGGGCGCCTTTTCCCTCCTTCTTTCCCCCTCACTGGGCTTTGAAACTGCGCGCGCGCGCGCTGTTCCGATTTCCATCGGCTCTGCCGGCGGGAAAGTTGGCTCTGGAATGTCTGGAATGCGGAACTCCTTCCAACGTTCCCCTTTCCCTTCCCGCCTCTCCAATGCTCTCGCCTCCTGACGCGCTCCTATGGTCAGCGCTGATTTAGTCAGCTGGTCCATAGACTCCGCCCTGGGCGCCCGGGAAAGTTCGTCTTTCACAGCCGAAGAAAGCCCTTCTTCAAAGAGCATTTGAATGGGTTCCGCCGATAAGTCCCACCCCAATCTGTGAACCAGCATGGTGAACTCAGTCCAGTACTCACGGACAGATCGGCTCCCCTGTTTGCAAGCCATTAACTGTCTGCGCACCACTCCCTGTTCAATATCGCTGGAAAACATCAGATCCATGGCGCGAAAGAACTTCATCGTGTCCTTTAGGACGTCACTATTCGCTGCCATCAGGGGTCTAACCCAGTCTCTCGCCCCCTTTCAAGATGCTCAATCACGAAAGCCACTCGTGATTCCTCGTCAGGGAATTCATCAAACTGCAGATTGAGGGCATATTGCATCTCTGTCCGAAAGCCATGATAGTCTTTGGGCTCCCCAAACTTCTGCACCAATCCTGGTACCTTTCTGGCGAGCTGGGTGGCTTTCCCTTTTGTCTGCATCCTGAGCCCTCCTCTCCTCAAGCCTCGCCGTCTGCAGCGCTAGCTGGACCTCCAACACCCGGTACCTTTCTTCCAGGCTTGGACCCGCTCCAGCTCCTGCTTCTCCGGTTCCTGCTGGGTTGCTCATGATGCCTTCTCCTGCACAAGCTGCTTTCAAAGACTGTCGGAATGCTGTGATGGGATGATGAGCTGCTTGTGCGTAAAATCGTATCCCCTCAGAGTTTGTTCAAGTCCACAAACCTCTGTCTGTGACGGAGCCCCTCAGACATGGCTCCTCTAGTCACTAGCAGATTCCGACAGTGGTTGCTTTCGGAATCGCTTCCAACATAAAAGCTCCTTAACGGAAACACGTCTTCTGGACTCTCTGCGTGTCAGTTTCCAGCGAGGAGTGGGTGTCCCTACAGGAGGTCCTGAAACCTCCCCACTGTTTTCGCTGGAAGTGTCTCTGAGCCATCCCTCCAGCTCACTTTCCCTCAGCTCAGCTCCTCTCCCCCTACTGGTTCCCTCTTCAGCTGCTGAGTCTCTCCCAACCTGTGTGAGCCCTTTCACCTCCCTTCCTTCCGATGGCAGTTCCCTGACAATACACTTCAGGTTACAGACTCCACTAACCCAGAAATAGTACCTCAGGTTAAGAACTTTCCTTCAGGATGAGAACAGAAATCGCGTGGGGGCGGTGCAAGGGCAATGGGAGGCCCCATTAGCTAAAGTGGTACCTCAGGTTAAGAACAGTTTCAGGTTAAGAACGGACCTCCAGAACAAATTAAGTTCTTAACCCGAGGTACCACTGTAGATAACGGGAAACAATATTTGAGGTATGGAGGACCTTGGCCAGAGATGGGGAAACTGTAGCCCTTTTTGGCCCCAACCTCCAGCAGCTCTAGCCAGGAAGGCCAGTGAAGGGTGATGTCCTGCAACATCTGGAGGTCTACAGGTTCTCTATCCATGACCAAAGACATATTGAGCTTTATAGATGTAAACCCGCACCTTAAATTGGCTCTGGAAGGGAGTAGATAGCCATCATAGTCCAGGTTTTAATATGCTCACTCCTTCACAGTAGTTATAAAGGCTTTAGAAATCCACCAATGAAGGAGTCATGCCTAGTAGGGCATTCCAAGGATGTGGCGTACCTACCTTAGATCTGATAAAGATCCACCCCCTGCCCTGTTCACAGCATAACAAAGGGCTGCTTGCCAAGGTATGTGGAATTACATTTGGAGGCACTGCTAGGATTATATTTAACAAGGGGAGCGCAAAATCCTAAATTAATTGGTTTTCCAACTCTATTGAGTTCTGTGTTAAAGCAATATGTATATTGGTACATTGTGAATAAAAAATTATAGAGAGATCATATAGGCCTACAGTGGGATTTAAAATACTGTTCTACATTGTCATCTGCTTTCAAAAATCTGATGACACACACAAGATTTAGCAAGAGTGTAGTCTTCCTGGCTATATTATAAGGTTCTGAGAGGTAATTCAACCTGGATTGTGTTCAGTCTGTTTTTGTTGCTGCTCCCCCCCCCCCCATCTCCTCCATACAAAGGCGATTTCTCAGCTGACAGCCACCGAAGGGTTCGGATGAAGAAAAGCCTAATAAGGGCCTGTGACTCTTTCCTATCTGCAGATAACATGACACATTTCTGCTTGAGGAAAAGCAAGATGAAGATTGAAAATATGTTGACCCTTTGACCAGCAGAAATTAGTCCAATGAAAGAACCGATAAATGTCTCTCATGTTGTCTGAAACCAAATGCAGCAACAATAACCAAGCAATCATACTGCTGAGATGTTTCAGGCACAATAACACGAGTGTGCTTGATTTTTTGTTTTTCTTTATGTAAAGCAACTGTATCTTTTCTATGCTGTAATGCAGCATGATAACATAAAGCAGGGATGAGGATTATGAAGCCCTTAGAAAGGGATAAAAACCTCTGAATCCCAAGCCTGACCAGCCTCAGCCAGTGGTCAAGGATGATGGGAATTATATGTTATAGGTTCTCAGCCCTGGCTTAGAGAGACCAGGCACCTATTCTTGGGTCATTTTCTTTTACACAGTATAGGGGTGTGTGTGTGTGTGTGTGTGTGTGTGTGTGTGTGACTTTACAAAGAAGAATGGCTGAATGAAGTCTGAGAAAATGAACAATTCATAAAATTTCTGTCTCATATTACTGTGCAGACACCAGAACACAGCCTATTTTTTAATTTTTGTGGTGTGCAAAGAATGATTTGTTTAGGCTACTGCTGTGAAAGCATTAGACGACAACATGATCATTGATAGGTTCTAGAATACTATGATTCTATGATCTGGAGCACAGTTGTTTTCCCTTGTTATGAGAAAGTGTACCAAGTCCACCAATGAACGGTCAAGTGGACAAAGACGATGCCTCTTTAGTTCAAGGTTGGTTAACCTTTGATCCACCAGATGTTGCTGGACTACAACTCCCATCGCCCCTGACATCTGATCGTGCTGTCTGGAGCTGATGGGAGTTGGGAATCCCTGGCCTGCAAGCTGCAATCAGACTGGGAGATATATATATATATGCATGTATATGTGTGTGTGTGTATATAATATATATAATCTTACGGGATCCATGTCTTGGGACGATGCCCCCTCCGTCTCACCTCTTTCCATCTACCAGTTAGAGCACCAAAAGACACTGTATTTGTTTACAATGGTGCTGTTTGTGATATGGCTGCAGGCGCCAGAAGCTTCCTGAGCCCTTCTCTCCCAGGCCTCGCCACATTCGTGACTGCTGCGGCTTAACGAAAGCGGCTGGTTTGCGAGCTCCCAGCTGGAGGTTGGGGGAAGGGGGGGGATGAGACGGCAGCAGGCTCTGCAAAGGCCCTGCCGCGCCAGGTTTTGCCTCTGAGCAACCCCGGGGTCCTCCGCCTTCTCCCCGGTTCCGCGAACGCTTCCAGAGCTAGCTATGGATTTGAACTGAACCGGGGCGCGGATCAGTTGGACGTGAGCGGGAGCATGTGCGAGCGAGCAGGCAGCAGAGGCCTGCAGATGCGCAGTCGGGGGAAAGAGGAGCGGCGGCCGGAGAAAGGCGGCTCGCGTCGTTTCTCCCTTCCGCGCTGGCTGAGGCGAGCGAGGCCGGCAACTTTGCGCTCGCTGCCTTGCGCGTCTCGAGGGCCAGACGCCGCGCTCTCGAGCAGCTGCTCCCGCCGCCGCTGCTGTTTTCCAGCCCGACGACGCAGCTCCTCTTTCTTCTTCTGCTTCTATTTGTTTACAACCGGGTGACATCACTCCTCCCCCGCGCCCCTCCGCTCCGAACGCGACGTCACAATGGTGCGATCCCCGGATTGGCCGCGGCGGGTTCTCAGCCGCCATTGCCGCCCGGACGTGGTTATAAAAGGCGGCGCACGCACAGCCACTTCCTTCGTGCCTCGTAGAAGGAGATGCTGGAAGTGCCTGCTAGTGCAGCCGCCGCTGCCGCCAGCCTACGTCACAGGGAGGCGGCTGAGGAGGGGGGCCTGCTAACTTAAAAGTCCCTTGAACTCGATCGCTCCGTCCCCCTTCTAACCCGCTCCTTTCCCGCCTGCTCTCTCGCCTCCTCCTCCGCTTCCCACCCCCCTTTGAGGCGGCCCCGTGTGCGCCCACCGTGCCCCCTTCCACTCAACGCCCGGAGCTGGCTACCCCTTGCCGCCTCCATGCATCCTGCCCTTTACACCCGGGCCAGCATGATACGCGAAATCGCCGCGGCCGTGGGCTTCATCTCCAAGTTCCTGCGCACCAAGGGGCTGATGAACGAGCGGCAGCTGCAGACGTTCAGCCAGAGCCTGCAGGAGCTGTTGGCAGGTATGGGGGAGGCAGCAGAGGGGGGTGGGAAGGGGACGATTTTAAGTATTTATCTCTTCTCCGCCACCCGCCTCCTCCTCCTTATCTCCCCGCTTTTCTAATGCTGCCTCATCCTCCCTCTCCAGGTTTTGTTTCTCTTTCCACCGCAGCATTTGGAGGAGCGGGGATCGCTGCCTCGATTGCATACTTTTTTCTTTGGTGGTGGTGGGAAGGGTGTTGTGGAGTTAATGACCTCCTATAAAATGTGCCGCAGAAAGAGATGCATTTCGCATAAGACCAGGAAATGGCTCTCCCCACCCCCCACGCGCTTTCAAAAATCGGGATTCACGAGATTGTAGTGCGTTGTTTTATAGTACTATCGCAGTAACGGTTCCTTCGTGCTGTCCCGTCCAGAGGGCTGCGGGGGTGGCACGTTTCCCCCTCGTATGTTCAGCTGCGTGCCTGGAAAGTCCCTTCCTTCCCTGCCTTCCTCTGTTCCTTCTTCAGTGTTTGTACTCAAGTTCACGTCATGCAGATTAGTTCTCCTCCCCCCACCCCCGGCCACGCATACACACACACACAAAACCCAGACACCAATCGGACTTTTACGCAGTTATGGAAATAAAGGCGGGGCGGCGCTATTCCCCGCCCACCACAGTGGTTATTTGTTTTACATGATGATTCGAATCCACATGAAGGTGATTTGGGTTGAGGTTCGGTAGTTACTGAACTAATTGGGTGCATAGGAGTTACTTTGCACAGCTGTTAGTATAAACGCGTGAAGGTTTGTTTATCCCGCTCATCTGCATCCTTTTGCTCTCGGGGACAGACACAAGTGGCCATAAGCTGCGTGTTTGTCTCTTCGGAAGGAAAAGCTCCTTTGCAGAAGGAATCGGTTTCCTTCTCTGGTCTGTGCTGGGTCCGAGGGTGGTCCTATCAGCTCTTTGTGTGTTCTGTGCCCCTCAATTGCAGACCAAGGGGGTTGCTGTAGCCATAATCTTTGCACATTTGGAGACTAAGAATCCTATTTATTTTTCCTCCTGGTTTCTTAGGGAAGGGATTTTTGTCAACACTTCATCTCTGTGGCAAGGCTGTGGTAGTGAATAGTACCCTTTACCCTTTTCTGCTCATTTGGGGGAGTCGTTCGCTGCAAACACACATTTACATGGAAGCCAGACCCAATGAACAGAAAGGGGACTTGTTTCTACGTAAACATGTGTGGGATTGTGCTGCTAGTGTCCCTTTTCTACCTCAGCTGTTCTCCAAGCTGTAGTGGTAGCCCTTTTTCCTTCTCTCCCTTTGGTGGCTGCTGCAGGGGCAAAATGCCATACTAATTCCTGCTGCTGCTTATCCCACAACATACAGCTGCCCCTCATTTTCTTTTTGCTTTGTCTTAGTGTGCTTTCCCTTCATTGTACTAAGACAAAGAAATGCCAGCAAGGAGATTGTAATGTAGTAATTCAGTATGATGTGGTTAGGTTCTGTGTGTACATTATAAGACTGGGTCCAAGATGCTCCTTGAAGTACATTTATCATAACAATAAAACAACCTACATTGGACTTGGCTGTTATTCTTTTGCATATTTTTTAAAAAAAACAAATAACCCCACTATTTCTAAACAGTAAAAATGGTTCAGAGGAAGAAACAGCCCTTCTAAAGAAAACGACAGTCTTATTTGATTAAATGCATCTTACTCTGAGTTGCTTACTTGGAAAGGCTCCTAAGCACAGTTCTGGAAATAATAGATAAATAAAATGATGGGTAGCATTGGAAGATTTTAGTTAAAGCAGTTTAACCTACTGTAACAAGATTCCTGTTCTAATCTAAGAGCAAATGTTGTCCTGCTGAGAATAAATACCTAATCCATACATGTAAACATATGAGGATGAGTCCAAATTTGAGCAAAACATTAAGATTATTGAGGGAAATGTCAAAAAGTTCATTTTTTCAAAAATCAGTCACCCAGTGTGTTTCAGTAATAATAGACTCAAGAGATAGCAAACCAATTCTAAAAAAGAAATATGCATAACTTGCCTATCCCAATTGTTAGGAATCCAGAATTCTGGAAAACTTATAGCCAAACATATAGGCGGTGTGACACAGTACTTAGGACACCTCTTTGTTTAGCACTGCAGGCAAGGTTCCACTTCACATGTTAGAATTTCATATGTGCATATTCTTACTTGGTTATGGAGAAGGTTGCACAAGTCTGTGATATGTTGCACACATCAGGAAATAGATTTCATGCTTCTTTCAGATGTGTATTTATGGTACAGCTGAAAAAAGATGTGGGAGAATATTACTGCATTACAAACTACACATAATGAAACTGTGAAGAGGCCTTTGGATATATACTCAAGATTCTCCCCCGACCCCCAAATTGGTTTTATCGCCCTACTTTGAAGTGTCTAGGTGCCCAATTACATGTTTTTCTCACCCCCATTTGTGGAGGGTATCATTCAGTACTGCTTTTATACATGCATAGGCAGTTAAATGTGCCTTTAGCTACAGTGATCAAAATACTTGGTTTCTGTTGAGCCTGTCATTATTTTCCAGGCCATTGAATATTCATTTTTGCATCTGTGTCGTATTTCTCTCCCCCCCCCCAATGCTCTTGTTCTAAGCTACCATTTTCAAGCGTAATAACACAATTACACACATTGGTTACCTGAAGAGCAAAGTATGATCTTTTGTTGCTTTCATTTTGTTCTGTAGAACACTATAAACACCACTGGTTCCCTGAAAAGCCATGCAAAGGATCGGGCTATCGCTGCATCCGGATCAACCATAAAATGGATCCCTTGATTGGGCAGGCAGCACAACGAATTGGACTCAGCGGTCAAGAACTGTTCCGGCTTCTTCCAAGTGAACTCACTCTCTGGGTCGACCCTTACGAGGTATCCTATCGCATCGGAGAGGATGGCTCAATCTGTGTGCTGTATGAAGCCACACCAGCAGGAGCTAGCCAAAACAGCACCAGCATGCAAATGGTAGACAGCAGAATAAGCTGTAAGGAAGAACTTCTCTTGGGCAGAACCAGTCCCTCCAAGAGCTACAATATGATGACTGTATCAGGTTAAGATAATAGCCTATGGATGGATCATCTTATAATGGATGGATAAAATTTGGTTTTTACTTTGGGTGGGCTCCTCTGGGGATGGATTATGGAATTTAAACCATGTCACACCTGTGAAGACCTGGCACAAGATAGAATGGTAAACTTTTATTTTATAGTGGCAGTGCCATAGTTTCGACAGTACCTTTCAGTGATTTAAATAGCCTGTGAGTAAAGATGATTGCTTTATTTCCTAAGGTGTGAAGTTGTCCAAGGAAGGCTGCAGTTTTCTCCCAGATGTCTTGCTTAATTTTTTTCCATTTTTTTTCAAAAAACATCAGTTTTCAGCCTAAAGCTATAGCTATAAAATTTATTCTCTGCAGTAAATGTTGCAGAGTAAATTTGCACTATTGACATTTTTAGGAAAAAAATTGTTAACATTTTTGGCAGCTCAGTAACAAGACTTGTTATGAACATGGTAGTACTGGAAATTTTATCTGACAAGACTTTTACCTAGCACTTAACAATCTGTATAAACTGTACATAAGTCACACTTGGTGAGCATGAACTGGGGGAAATGGTCAGATCTCTGTATATTGGCCTTCAAAGTAGCAAGTGAGCAGGATCTGCTATGCCAACAGGCTTGAGAGAGACCATATAAAGACACTGTCTGAACTGTGGTGTGTTTTACCAGCCAGCTATCTGTACATTTGCTAGCTTGTAGTTTTCTAAGACTGAGTAAACCTCTTATTTTTAGAAAGTGGAGGTCTGGTTTGTAATTTCCTTGTACTTAATTGGGTAAAAGTCTTTTCCACAAACCACCATCTATTTTGTGAACTTTGTTAGTCATCTTTTTTTTTTTTTTTTTGGTAAATTATGAACTGGTGTAAATTTGTACAGTTCATGTATATTGATTGTGGCAAAGTTGTACAGATTTCTATATTTTGGATGAGAAACTTTTCTTCTCTCTATAATAAATTGTTTCCTATCTTGGCATTTTAATTTAATCTCTTGTCGTGCTTGCATAGGATCAGTTTAAATTATTTTTAGTCCTAGTAGACTCTCATGTTTTGTAAAGGATGGGAGCACTTGAGGTAGGGGAGAGCTTGATAAAAGTTTTGGATGGAAGAAGAGGATCATTGGGTATAAATGTTTGAGGAGCCCAGACCATACATTAATGTGTCACTTTTAACACCTTTAAAAATGGGCCATAACGTGGAAATAATGCAAGGGTCCAATTATTCCTAAATATGAGGAAAACATGCAGAACGACCAACAGACATGCAGAACAACCAACAAACGAGCAGTGAATAAATCCTGCGGATCAATGTTTACATGGTTTCCTGATGAACGAGGAGCTAGCAAACCATTAAAACGAAAAAATAAAAATAAACCTCATTTCCAACTTGACGGATGCCCAGCTCAATTGGTATTTACTAGGATCAATGTCACACAGCCCTTAGGAGCAGGTTAACCACTCAACAGAAAGGTTGATTGCCTTTTGCTTTTCTTCAAACACAAGATTCTCTTAGAGTTCAGTGAGATGGGATCCAGCAAAAGGTATGTATCTGTATGTTTTTCTTTCCCAACGATAGCAGGTGTTCTGGTGCTGGCCTGATGACACTAAGGCAGACATCTTGGGCACTTTGCTTGGAGGTAAGCAGGACTTCCAAGTAAATGTGTGTGGAACTGGGCCAAAAGTCTGAATTTATAAACTTGCAAATAGAGCTTGTATTCTGCAAGTTTATATCCTTTTCCTGGCTGCTGATGAAAATGGCCCTTCCCCTAGTCCATGGCTGGTTTCAGTACCTGTCTCATTCATCTGCGTCCATCCTATATGGCTTGGCACACTGCTAAAGTATTTCCTATTGTGGGAGGTTCATGTTGTATGGTGTGCCTGCTAAATCTAAAAAAATGTCCCATTTTAGGGCTAGTAATATTGGATTAGCTCCATACCAAATTGTTACTTTATGACTTTTAGATGAGGGATGGGGTGAATCTCTCTCTCCAGATGTTGTACTACCACTGATAATGCTTGTAGATGATGCTAGGAGTTACATCATCTGGAGGACCAGAGGTTCTGTTCCTGTTTCAGACGTACCCTAACAATATTGATCATAACACTGTGGGAAGTCCAAGGCTGTTTGCATTTGGAAATCCATTAGCTTGGATTCTGTAAGCAATAGGCATAGTCCCAGCTTCTGAATTATCCACGCTCTCCAAAAAACGCTGAAGGGTGGTCTGAACTCCCACAGCTCATCATTTGATATTATGTGTAACTTGCTTTCCTCAACTTTGAGTTCTTGCCTCTGAGGTAAACTAAATGTTCTGCTTCAAGTGAGATTTCTAGTAATCTGGGTTTCTTGGACCCAGTGTATACCACACTTCAGTTTCTAAGTGGTGGAGAATGTGTCGCCCTCCATACGTCACTGGACTAAAGTTCCCATCGTCCTGATTATTGGTCATGCTGGCTGTGGCTGATGGGAAGTGCAGTCTAGCAACATCTGAAGGGCCACATGTTCCTGAACCCATTCTAAGTTTTGAGGAAATGCCATAGCCATCTGTAGAGATGATGCACTTCATCTTCTTGGCTGAGGGTTATTGTTCACTTAAGCACTACATGAATGCCAATTATCCATGGCCAAGCTACGCTGGAAAGCAAGTTCCTAAGCACCTGTAGAAGCTGAATTATGACATGAGCTTGAAAGCTACATTTTCATGATCTCGCACACAACTTTTCATTAGCTTTAAAATGCTTAAGCCTGGTCCTTTTCAGTAGTGTATTATTTCTATAAAGCTCTACTGATTTTAATTGTAGGCAACAGTGAGTGTCACTCTTTCCTAAGCAATTAATAAATTAATTTCACTTTACCTGAAGGTCATAGTAAAATTGGGCTAGAGCATTACGATCCTTTCATATAGGGAATGAACACTGTCACATGAGCCTTTTGGCCTTCATAGGTCCAGCTTCCTATGTGCTTCTTGTCTTTGAGTGTAGTTATTATCAATATAAAAAAAAAAAAACATTTTAAAAATATGTTGGCATGTGTCTTGGCAACTCTTTTAATTTGTGCATGGGTTTTAGTTGCTAAGTAGGTCAGCTGCTAGGGGGGAAAGGTGCTTTTCTGATAACACTGAAGACAGCTGCTTTATGTAAACAGTTTGCATCTTCGGTGAGCCAATGCTTGCTCTGAAACCTTACTTATTCGAAACAGCTTGAAAGATTGCAAATATGTGGTTGCACTTAAGCAGAACACATAACCCCTTTTGGAAAAAAGTAGTAATTGAAAGTACATTGACAGTGGTTTCCTGTGACTGAAATACTATTTTGTTTCGCAGCTTCCTTTTTTTGCGCATGAAAGACTTGCAGATGCAGCTCTGCTTGATCTAGCATGCTTATGCTTTTCTCTTTGCTTTTTAACCAAGCTTTGGAACCTGAAGCATTTGGTTGCCTTCATGATGTCAGTTCTGGCAGTCATGGAAGCAATATAAGTCTCGTCTTTTGTCAGGTTGGCTGCTTGTACACAGTGGCTGCTACACCTGCTGCAGGAGGCTTATTTGTGATACTGAATTTGGAGCAGGCCCTGTGTGATGGCTAACATTTTGAATCCTTTTAAGGCTTGGGTGACTTTGTTCATGACCCTTGTTAAGAGCTTTTGCATAACTTGTAGAGCTGACCCTCACTTTGTCTCTCACAGCTTGAGAAAATATTCCTCTTGACTACAGATCTTACCAGCAGCATTTTAAAAAACCAGTAACAAGGCATTTGCATTTAAAACAAACAGCTTTTGAGACTGTCAAACTATGTGGTGTATAGTTGCACAGAACCTAGTCAACCACAGGAAAAGCTCATCTGTTATGCTGAAGAGTAGTGCCATCACTATAAAACTGACTTTTGGACCAAACATTAGCAAAATAGTATAATTCTAACCTGCAAAGTTTGTTGCAGTGCAGTCTTAAATTGATCTCACAGGAACACTGAGAGGTAGACTGCTGTTAACTTCTCTCAGATGCAGAAATTCATTCTGAGAGGAAGCTTATTAGCAACTTCAGAGCTGAGGGAAAGTGTGAAATGAAGTTGTGCAGGGATAGGTAACATGGAGCCCTCCAGGTGTTATTAGGCTACAACTCCCATAAGCCACAGCTGGCATAAGTTTTACTTAGCCAGATGACTATATATGCATAAATATTTATATGAATACAATAGTTCTAAAGGAAAAGTCATACTTTATTTCTAGGTGATGGATATTTATATGGCAGCAGGCCTAGCCTTAGAGGTACCGATTTTCTCACATAGGAGAGTGTTCTAAGGTGACACCAATTGTAGTTTTTATATATCTGCTTATAGTAAAAAATAAATATGTGGCTGATAAATTGGACCTTGTTTTCAAATCAAATAAAAACCCTTTGATCAATTGGCTAATCAAACATGGCAGTCCTAATAACAGTCTGTGTTCATAATTCAGTGATGATCTACCCCCTATTTTCTTCTTGTTTGACTTCAGAGTCAGTTTAAGGGTGCAATCCTATACACACAACCTGGGAGTGAGTTGCAATATATTCTGTGCAGACGTGTACAGGATTGAACTGCACATGTTTTTGGCAGAATAAATAAAGCATCCTGTTAAGCTTTTGAGGCCATTGCTGCTGGAGCTCAGTCTAGGTGAGACAGTTGCTTGTTTTGCTGCCTCATAAACATAAGAGACAATATTTGTTTTTTTAAAGACTTATGCAGTCAATGGATCAGTATTTAGTTTCTAAATGGTAGCCTTTAAAGCAGAATTGGGCATCTTCCATATGTTGTTAGAACCCAACGATATAGATATCGAGATATCAAATTTTATTGTTTTTCAATATCAAGAAAAAGAAAAAGAATAAAACCCAACTGCTATCTGCTTCATCCAGCATGTGCAATGTTCAGAAATGATAGGTTTTGTAGGGCCACAGGCTCTCCACTTGCCTTAAAGCATTAGAACTCTTATCCTACCTAACATCTGTTTGGAAAATAATATTAAATACGTCTTTGTGAGGTAGCAGTGGATATTTAGACCACAGAATGTTAGATGACACAGTCTTACCAGACTTTGTGCATGGCTAGAGGACAAATTATGACACTTCTGAAATGTCCATTATGAAGGGAGGTGACCTTCCTTAGCCACTCTCAGCTAAAAGCTGTGGTTAGGTTTTTTCCCCACTGCTAAAACTTCAGTAATAGCCTATCCTTTCTCATAAACACAGGTAACTGCCAGAAACAAGTCAGTTTTAGCATCTGTGTGTTTGGATGTGTAATACATCTCCTGCCAACTGAGACTTCCAGGCAGTTGAGGTAACTAAGAGGCCTGCTGTTTCTGATGCCAGTGCTCAAAAAGGTGACTCACCTCTTCAAACGAGAGTTGGGCTTAGAAATGGTTTGAAAGCAAAAGGCATTTTTTTGAGTTTCGTTTACAAAACACTCGCTTTAGTTTATCAGTCTTTGAAATACCCGGCCCACTTTTATGTTTTCTTTTGATCCAAGCCCTAAATTTTAGGGTTCTAGTGAAAGTCTCTTTCTCTGTTCAGCTCAGCCTACTCTGATTTTGGTCTTGAGGGAGTTTTTCTTCCTCCCCCCCCCCCCCCCACTTTATGGCCAAACAGCTTGCCACACATTTCCAGGCAGAAAATGAGGCTCAACGCATGCTGAAGGACAAGTAGTCACTGTAAGTGATTGAGAATTCATTTGATAGCGTGGAATATGTATCTTGATTTGTAATCTCTGGAAACTGATCCAGCAGTCGCTCTTTATCCGAGCTGAATTAATCCTGAATAATAAGCATTTAGAGTTTTTATAAATGCCCTCTAGACAGCACACAAAATAATATTTTATCTTAATAATACCTCTCAAATCTGTGGTGTGTGAACTATTATTCCTTTTTTATGTATTTTATACAGAAGTCACTGGGAGATTAGCTCCTCCATAGTCATGCAATTGTGAATGTGAATCCTGAGGAACGAAGTCACCGTGTAGTGACTAGTTCATTTCAAAAAATAGTTGTTGGCCTTTCTGGACGCAGCAGGAACAACTGTACATTGACCATTTCCCCAGGTCTGCAGTCCACCGTTGTTTGTTTGCTTTGTAGGACTTTTGTTCACTCCTCATTGCTGTAGTTCATAGTTGCAGGTTCTTTGGTGTATAAAACTTGGCCTCTAATGAACTGGCAATGTTATCGATGTGGCATGAATAACTTACCAGGACTATAAGAGTTGGTAATGAGGAATTAATAGGAACTCTATGAAGAAAGTACAGTGTTTCCTGACGGCTAATTATGACTTTTCCACTCCCACAAATGTGATATTGCATAAAAACATCAAGGTAGAAGGGCAAGACTTGCAAAATCAGTGAAATGGACAAGCATACAGCTGGGTTCTAGGTGAATTCTCTCTTTGCCATGGTTTCTTGAAACTAATCAAATTTCCACTTTGTGTCACTCTCATAGGACGTTAGGGAAAAGTTTAAAGTATATTAAGTGTACAGTTAGGAATTTGCGATTGACAAAAATAGATTGTAGGGATAAATAACCAGACCAAAAGCAATAAGAAACTGTGATTTATTAATGTTTAAACTTGTGACAGAAGGTTTTTTGTTTTTTGTTTGTTATACCTACATTCCAGGGTGGTAGCAACGTCGTGTGAGAAGCAGGATATTAAACTAGCAGCTTTAAAATATTATTTATTTTATGAATCGATTCCCGTAAAACATCCCAAAGCGATTTGACAATTGAAATGTCAACAATAAAAACACACATAAAAACAATTTAAAGTCCAATACAGATAGAAACATTGGATTTATACCCTAATTAGTTATGTAGCAACCACACTGTATACACAGGATCTGGGGGCGCTTGGGTGCAAGGTGACTTTCAAAGCCAATAAGGTCAGATACTGTTTAGCTTTGTTAGCTACGGAAACAGAGAGCAAGCTGCAGCTGCACACATATAAACAGTTACCCATTGCTAGACCTCTGTTCAGGCAGACCCATCTGCTCAAAACATACAGTTGAAAAATGTCTGCATGGAATGCTCTTAAATTTAGGACAAAGCTAATTTGCCTTTAGGGACGCGGGTGGCGCTGTGGGTTAAACCACAGAGCCTAGGACTTGCTGATCAGAAAGTCGGCGGTTCGAATCCCCACAATGGGGTGAGCTCCCGTTGCTCAGTCCCTGCTCCTGCCATCCTAGCAGTTCGAAAGCACGTCAAAGTGCAAGTAGATAAACAGGTACCGCTCCAGCGGAAAGGTAAACGGCGTTTCCATGCGCTGCTCTGGTTCGCCAGAAGTGGCTTAGTCATGCTGGCCACATGACCTGGAAGCTGTACGCCGGCTCCCTCGGCCAATAAAGCGAGATGAGCGCCGCAACCCCAGAGTCGGTCACGACTGGACCTAATGGTTAGGGGTCCCTTTACCTTTACCTTTAATTTGCCTTTGGATTGTGCCCATTGTATCTTAACAGATTTTAGTTCCAATGCTACTATCTTCCTCAGGCCCAGCCCACCCATAAGGTGACTGCCTCAGGCGGCAGGATCCACATGGGCAGCAGATCTTGATATAGAGCTTTATTCAAGGCCAGCCCACCAATGAGGCAAGGTGAGGTGACTGCCTCACATGGCAGGATTCATCGGGACAGCAGATCCAAAGGTCAATCTTTCTTCCCCCTCCCCTTGTTCCTGATGTAGCTCTTCCCTGGCGGGGAGGGGGTGTTATTATGAATGGTTTTGAATGGTTTATGTCTAGTGGGCACAGTCCCAAGAACTATCTGAGGCATGCTCTATTGCTGGTAAAGCATATCAGCTATATCGTATCTGGCTTCTCATATCATTGGTCAAATATAATATCTATACAAAAATAAGTTTAAGGAAGATGTTAAAGTTTTAAGCAGCTTATTTCAGTGCAGTAGCTTCTTGAGTTCTTGTTAATCATGGCTCTATGGATGTCTTTAAAAAATAATTGTCCTCTTCCTGTGGAACTCTGAATGCAAGTAAGAATGGTGCATCTGTGACATTATACCACTCTCCATGCATTAGATTTTTGACTTTGCAGAATCAGCAAGACATATGAGTTTAGGTACAGTGTATGCGCAACCATCACACATGCATTAGGTATTCATTGCCACTGTTTGAATTAGGCCTCAGCAAGTGAATAGCAGGGCATTTTATAAAAGGTGAACTTCAGCAGCAGTATAAGGTTGGGACATTGTGTGTGCTTGTTCACAGTGAAAGAAACTTCTGTCTTCTAGTAATCATCCACTTGACCTCTAATCCTTCAACTTGTTTGTGTACCCTTTTACAGGTATTTGGCTTTCTGTTTGGGTCATGGCCTTTCTTAACACTTTTTCCTCTCAAATGTCAGCATTTGACCTGTCGTCTCAGCTTGTTTGACGTAAACTAGAATCTGGATTGTTTTATTCTTATGATGCTTTGTTTTCATTCTTATAATATTGAATCAAAGCAATTATTTACACTGTACTTACTATAGATAATACTTTACGTTCATCCAATTCATCCTGGGAAATAGGCAACTGTTATTTCCCAGTTTGCATAATGGCAACAGAACAGAATATGATTCGGTGTGAGTTTGTGGCTCAGCAGAGGTTTGGACTCTGATGTATTTACAACTTCTATCACAATCCTTCACAGGTTCTTGACAAGTTGGTAATAAAATTGGCATTTGTACCACATTGTATTTTAACTTGGTTTGCATTTGGCCTTTCTGGCTGGTCATGGAAATAGTTTTACCACAAACTCGGATAATTAAATATGTTGGTTAAAATGCTTTTATTCTGTATTCCCACCCATAACAGAAAGTCTAAGGTAGCTAACAACAAATCAGTAATAAAGTACTTCAAGATAAGAATACAAAATAGCAGTGCCAAGCAATAAAAACAAACAATCATAAAGTGATAGCTCATAGGACAATTCAGTTGCCATGTAACTTAAATTCATGCTGCAATGGCAGTGTTTTAGTCAGGCATCTGAAGATGCGTAGGGGAGAAGTGACAAATCCTCCTGGGTTAGGGAGTTCCACAGCTTGGCTCTACCACCAAGAAGGCCCCGCCAAACATTATTAGCTCAACACACCTCAGTTCATAAGGGGGGATACAGAGCAGGAACTAAGTTGAAGGGGAAATCCTCTCCTCCTCACGGAGGGGAGGCGTTGTGATCGGGAACCGTTCCCGCGCTGAGCAGGGGGCGTTCCGGCCCCTGCTCAATGTCATCGCTGACGCGCCCCCCCCAGTGAGCCTGCCTATCAGCTGCAGGCTCGGGGGCGGGGTTTAGCCGCTTAAACGCGGCCGCGGCAGCCCTCTTTCCCTCACTGCGCTGCTGGGATCGTCATCGGATTAAGATACCGTGCATGGCACTTTAAAGAGTATAAAATCCCAGGTTCCTGCCCTGAGGACCTTACAGTCTATAATTTGAGATAGGAAACCACAGAGGCACAGGATGGAAGCTGAAGGGGGATCAATAGGAGAAAAAAATACTAAGTTTATTTTATTAGTATAGTTCAGGCATCCCCAACCTGCAGCCCTCCAAATGTTTTGGCCTACAACTCCCATGATCCCTAGCTAACAGGACCAGTGGTCAGGGATGATGGGAACTGTAGTCCAAAACATCTGGAGGGCTGAATGTTGGGGATGCCTGGTATAGTTATATCACACCTTTCTACAAGAAGCTTAAGGTGGCATCCACGTTTCCCTATTTCATCCTTACAACCACCTTTTTAAGGCAGGTTGGACTGAGAGATGGTGATTGGCTCAAAGTTACTCAGTGAGCTTCATGGCTGAGTGAGTATTTGATCCCTGGTGTCCCAGATCGTAGTCCAACATTCTAGCACTACACCATATTGGCTTTAAGTTAAATATACATAGACTAGACTTGGTAGCAGGGCCTGGGAAACTACTATTGCAATGTGTTCTGGGTCCATGGGGCTGTATTTAAAGTGTTTGGAAGCTTCAACTGAAGCAGAAATATCACCACCAGATTGCTGATAGGAACTGATTGACCAATACCAGACTAATACGCCTCAGTCAATCTGCACTGGTTCCCCGCTCAGTTTAAGGTGCTAGGTCTTATCTTTAAATATCTAATCACCTTGGGCCTTGGGTACCTTAAGGATGCCCTCCTCTTCTCTCTAGGTGCAACATCTGAGATCCTTCTCCATGTGCTTCCACAGTCTGTGGTCAATGTTGTCTTGCAGTGGCAGCAGCCTTAAGAATTCACATTTACAGGGAGGCCCACTAGCCCCAACTTCAGGTGTTTTCATGAGTCAGGCAGCAACCTGTCTTTAAGAAGGCTCTTTTGGATTCAGCCAATCTTTATATTTCCTGGTTTTCTGTTGATTGAAATAGTGGCTAGTCCCCCTTGTATTATTGATTACTGCTGCTTTATTCTGCTAGCTGCTGCCAGTTTATTTCTTTGTAGTTTGATATTTGCTGTTGCTATGATTTGTTACAAGCTGCCTTGAGAGAGCTAGAATGTGTTTTAGTAGTTCTGTCTAAGGAACAGGCAACATGTAAGTTTAGAAACAGACAGAACAATTCAGAAATGGAAAGCATCAAGGGCATAGAGGCTTTGTTATGGTACTGGCATAGGCAGATGGGCTCAAGAAAGCACTAGCCATTGAGGTACTTCACAGTCCAAGTTAGTGCTGTGCCGAAGTCTGTCTTCCAGTTTCTCAAAAGTGTTCTTCCTCTGCTGGAGAGGCGTTTGTTTTTCAGCCTCATACTCATAGTGTTTGAGAATCTTTTTACAGTTTCTGTCATTGCAGGGTTGTGAGCTTACTAGGATGGTTACACGGTGCCCAAAAGCAATGCGTGCATTTTTCTTCCCAGTAAACATTTCTCCAGCAATCTCCAGCCCCCCTGACTGCTCACTCTTCCTCATCTAAAAAGGCCCCATAAATTTTCAGTACAGTAGCACTAGTCCAAGTAGCCATGCATTGCCCACGGAGATTGATCTGATTTGTAAGAGGAGGTTCAGGAACTACAGATCAAGGTGGTGCAAACTTGGGGGTTTCCTCTAATTCTGTGAAAGGTAATCACAAATACTGCTGGCTCTCAGGTATTTATGGGTCTCAAGTGCCTAAACTGGAAATTGAGAGTTGTATCCAATATTTGTCCTAGCCAGAGTAGACCCATTCAAATTAACGGACCTAAAAGGGTTGTGTCCATTATTTTCAATGAGTCTACTGTGCTGGGACAAGCATTGGACACAACCTTGAGATATGGAAGAATCAGTGCCACTGTCCATGGATCCATGGTCTCAAACGTTTTTTTCAAGGATACTACACTATGATTATTTTCTTCAAAAGAGTCCCTTATTACAGATGTATGCCTTCAAATTCTTTTTATCTACACAGGTCTTTCAGGAATATTTTAGAAGGCTTGTCAGTCTTCGTAATATGTTTGTGGAACTCTTCCTACAGCTTAATCTTTTTTTTTTATTTATTAAAGGCAACAGTCATCCCAGATGTCAGTTGGTGCCTGGAATTTAATAGGTGTTAATGAAAACAAATGCTTATGAAAGTCCAACTAGAGTCTGCTCCCTCACATCATTAACTGTCTCTCCCTTGTAATGCAGCTGTTTCCTCAGCTCCCTTTGGAGGTAAACATTCTATTTAAAAGGGGAAGGGTGCAATTCACATTTGACCTATGTGGAGGAGGAAAAACAGTAAGTGCTCTGGGGAAATTTCAAGGAATTATTATTATTATTATTATTATTATTTTACAAAACTAAACCTCAAAGACAACTATCAAAATGTTTCTGTTTTAAAAAGATAAAGTAAAAATACAGTTGCATAATATGGCTAATATTTGTTACCTTTATGTTGTTGTTTAGTCGTTTAGTCATGTCCGACTCTTCATGATCCCATGGACCAGAGCACGCCAGGCACTCCTGTCTTCCACTGCCTCCCGCAGTTTGGTCAAACTCATGTTGGTAGCTTTGAGAACACTATCCAACCATCTCGTCCTCTGTCATCCCCTTCTCCTTGTGCCTTCCATCTTTCCCAATATCAGGGTCTTTTCCAGGGAGTCTTCTCTTCTCATGAGGTGGCCAAAGTATTGGAGCCTCAGTTTCAGGATCTGTCCTTCCAGTGAGCACTCAGGGCTGATTTCCTTAAGAATGGATAGGTTTGATCTTCTTGAAGTCCATGGGACTCTCAAGAGTCCCATGTTACCTTTATACTTGCCACTTTTTGTTTAGCAATGTCCTCTGCCCTTATCTATCCCTGTTTCTTGGGATGGGTTCTGCTGGTATCACAGTTGTTCAGCAAAGCTGTCCCTTTTCCCAATATACATTCAGTAATTTCAAGGCTGGCCTCGACAAATAGCAGTATGGGCAGCTGCCTTGGGTTTCAGAATTCAAGTGACACAGGGCTACTCTGCAAAGTTCTCCCTCGCCTTTAAAACTCAGAAACTTGGATTAAGCCACAATATTCCCCTCCCTCAAAGGACAATTAGCAGACAGTTTTTGTATGTTTCATATGTCACATTTAGAAATAATTATTACAATTTAAATAGAGCTACAGTATATATAGTTAATGGGCAAGTTCAAGGTCCTAGCTGCTCTTTCTTACGGTTCTTTAAGTTGGCCAGCCATTTAAAATAAAATAAAATGGTAGCCAAGCAAGTTCCACAGATGGAGGAGGAGGCCCACTAGATGTTATGTTTCCCAAAGCCCCCCCCAAAAAAAACCCCTGGAGCCTGCCCTGAATATACGGTAAGTTTTCCCCACTGACCTTTATTTTACTTCTCCCCAAATGATGTCAGAGTACTAAACTGCAGCTTTCTGTGGGATCTGAAAAGCTGAGAAACACAAACATTTATAACTTCATGTTCCAGTTTAACCCGTGTAAACTGTGCTAAGCAACAGATTTTAGCTGTTCCCCACAGAGCTACCAATCTTGGCAGTCAATTCAGCCATCAGTAAATGAGTCATGGCAGTTGTACAAGGAAGGGGCTCCATCTTGGTGCCAAATTCTCTGTTTGGGGACTACAGGTGCAGGTGAGCACTTATTCATTTATTATTTATTCAAAAAGCCCATCTGAAGGAAGAAAATGGAAGAAAGCTGTATGTTGTAAATATAGAGCATTACTGTTTCCAGCTTGGGCTGCTATTCAGTTCAAAACTTTCAAAACAGATGCTTAGAGCGCTACAAACTAATTAATAACTCAAGGGAAGCAGAGACGAGCATTATTTTTTTTAATGAATATACAATTCTATATAATAACACATATTGTGTACTCAATGCCATCATTTTAACAGATGCAATACAGATGCAATTTTTTAATGAGTGACATTTTAATTTATTTTTAATCTTTGCTGGAAGCCTCCCAGAGTGGTTGGGGAAACTCAGCCAGATGGGCGGGGTACAAATAATAATAATAATAATAATAATAATAATAATAATAATAATTATGCAAGTCTTACTGAAGATGCGCAGTTGTGCTAGTTAGCCTCACTCATTTCACACACATGCTGAAACTTTTTTGATGCAACTATTAAGACTTTTCCTGGGTGGGGTCAGACATTTGTCAGGACTCTACCATGAGCTTCCCTTGCCAACTGATCAGTGAGTGCACATATAAGGGCTGGGGGTTTCCCATACACACAAAATTAAAAAGAATTTTGTTGTTTTCTATAAGCAAATATTTAACAAATGTGTAAAATAAGAGGTCTACTTAGAAGTAAGCTTGCTTTAGCTGTGGAAGCTCCTCCTAATTTTAGCTGTTTTGAGACTGGATTTGATTAAGCATTGAAAATGGAAAACACTTAGTACATTATTAAGTGCATTGCCATTGTCATCATCATGTTTACGTGTTTTTGGGCAAAATGGGGAAAGCAGAATAATCATCTCAGTTGCAAGGACCCCACAAGGACCTAGAGATAGTGCAAAAATGGCTGGATGCATCATCTTCATGAAAACTACAGCAACACTGAAATTTCAGATGTGGACACTTGTAACAATTGTGTGTGAACAGTCAATATATGTTTGAATATTCCCCTGGGTTCTTGTGCAGCTTGATTCTCTCTTAAGAGATGTGGGAGCAAACTAACCTTGTCCCCGTACTCACAGTGTCTGTATTAAACAGGGCTGCTATGATATCTTGATCCATCTACAGTTACCTGTGTTGAGATCCTGTTGCTTTGGAATAAGCCACAAGCTGGAATAAGGCAAAACATTTCCTGCAGCAAGTGCCTCTTAAGACTGTTTTCCATTTAGTGATGCCAACCAAATTATACGGGCCCTTTCTCTTGTGTTTATCATACATGTGATCTGATTGACCTCTCGCTAGCCAGTTCCAGCCTTGGTGTGTTTGTTTGCTCTGGTCTGTGCTGGACTTTCACAAGAGCTGCTCAGTTCGCTTTTTTCAGCTTGTTTTTTAGGCTTTGTATCTGATTTCAGTTGCAGTTGCACAATAATTAAGCTACCAAGCTTGCTTATGAACTAAGGAGTGACTGTTACATTTCCTTCTTGTGCCTTCTCGTTGCTTTTTCACTGAGCTCTTTCAATGTTGAGATCTGAAGCAATGGTTTCCTTTCCTGGCCTGTCTCAAATCAATCTCAGTTTCTCATGGTACTTCACAAATGCTGTTTTATTTGCTTGATCCAACATGCAGACATTAAACAGCAACAGATAACATATTAATATGGCTCATTAGACACAAAACACTCTTTTTTAAAAAAAAATGTGTTGAATTTAATCCCTCTGAAGTGCCTCTTATTGCTGCTTTTCTAGTTCATGGGCGAGATTCTTTTTTTAGATGGATAGTAGAGGAGAATAAGTTTGCAAAAGCAAAAAAATGCCAAAACTAATGTATGGCCAAAAAAGATAGCTACATTTTGCATAGCATTTGCTCAGATGCAAATTTAGAAATAATCACTATAACTTAAACAGAAATACACAGCATTTGGGCATCATGGAGAAGATGTGAATGGACGACCTGAGTGCCTGTTCAGTTTGCTATTCAGATGCTAGTTGCTGATAAGCAAGTTCAAGGCCCCTGCTAGTCTCCCATGTTAGGCATTTGAACCAGGCAGCCATTCAGATAGAGTCCTGTCCTTAGTAACATAGGCCATATGGCCATCCTAGAAGTAATCCTACCTCCAAGATGGCAGCATCACTTTCTCAAGGATATAAGGAGCTGCCATATTGAAATGCATCTATGTCTACTCAAATCTACCACAATGCATGCTCTGGCAAGGCTTGCCTTAGCCCTGCTACATGAGATTTTAAACTGGGATTGCCGGGAAGTAAACCTGGTGTTAGAAGCATGAAAGTCAGATCAACCACAGATTTAGAAAGCACTACATAAAAATGTAGAGTTGTGAGTAGTTTTAATACGTCTACATCTCCATTCTCTGTGGTCACCTAAACAGTAGGGCCATTTAAATTGTCAGTTACTGTGAGTGGTCATATTTGGAGGTTCCTCTTACCACTGCTTACCAGAACTGTAATTCCCAGGACCTTTAACAAACTACAGTTCCCAGGATTGGGTGGGAGAGGACAAGCCATGACTGTTAATGTGGTATAAGAGCGCTTTAAATGTATAATATGGATGTGATATATGCTGTCCTGATCTATAACTGTAGATAATGTTACCTATGGCTAATTTAAACCATCTTAAACTTATGACTTATTTAAACAAATCAGCTTCATAAAATATGGTTTGAGGTTGACTTGCTTGAAACTAACTATAGTTAAAATTAACCACAGTTTGCTTGCTAGTTCCAGAGAACACGACAAGCTTTTGTTAAGCAAAATTGGAATTAAAAGCTTCCAAACTGCTCCTTGTGACTGTACTGAAGGAAAGGGAAGCAGGGAGTGTGTGAATCTTAAAGTTCACACCAGCACACATTGACATGGTCATTATCTTTTAAGGAGACACTTTCCCAAGTAGTACCTCACTCAGAAGTTGGAATCCCCAATGCAGTACTCATCATGGGTACCAGTGCGGCTGCCAGCACCTCCCATTATACCTCAGCAAATATCCCCTCAAAAATCCATAGTGTATGAGATACTATTTCTGTCTCTTTCTTGGTTCTTGTTTACACTGGCTCAGCCTCTGCCACACTGAATATGCCTCCTTAAACATGTCCACATTTCACTGACTGCTCTCCCTTCAATTCTGAACAGAGGAGGGGTACAAAGAGCTTTTCGTGAGTGAACATTCTTCCATGGGAGGGGGATGACTGATGGGGGAGCATGCCCACACCATTTTGTGGCCCTGCCTCTTTTTGCTGTTTTAGATGTGGCAGTCATTTTATGTTGGCCCCGCCCCCATGGCAGCCATTTTGTGATTGTCACCCAGGGCACTTCAACAAAATTCCAAATGTGTCCACTGGGCCAAAATCCATTGTCAACCCCTGTCTTATCACACTCTTATCACATGGCATCTTGTCAAAAATAGTCATGCAAATTGCTTGAAGACCCTTTGACACAGAGCACTAAGCTGCTCACTCCTTGAGGCATACATTCCACATTTCTGCTGAGGTGATAAAACTGCTGCTTCAATGGAGGTAGCCCAGCCTGTTTGAGTTTGTCCTTGACATGCTTTTAAGAAAATGAAAGCATAGACAGAATAAGGAAGGTCTTTGGAATTCGTTTATTGCCCAACAACTTCAAGCACCAGTGGCCTCAGTTCCCACATCCAGCTGGGTGATATTAAGTAAAGCCATTGGGTGGTGAGAGCATGTGAGACTCAGATCTAAGCATTTGCAACATTGTTGGAAAGGGAACATTTAACTTGTTGCTTATGTTGCCTCTGGGCTTTATGGCTTTCCTTTTGAGGGTTAGCAGGATAATTAAGGCTGCCAATCCTATATATTCTTACCTAGGAATTAGTCCCATTGAACTCATTGCTTCTAGGTTGGCACAGGATTTCAATATTAATTCTTTGTTTGAAATGAGTTAATGTCCCAGCAATGAAAAAGTGATGAAAAGTGTGTCATCCTATACAATGGTAAATAAATGGACTTTGTGCCTAAGGAGCCAAATAGCATATTAAAACAAAAGGGAACATTAATCCTCTTCTCCTAAATTACAGTATTCTTGAGGCTAGAGTATTTGTTGTGGGCATCTTGTTGTTCTGCACAAAAGGCTTATTATTCTGTTGTGTTTTGGAAACCTTAATGGGTATTAGTAAGTGAGTGTTCAGAGAATTTTTTGGCAATTTGTCTTAGCGAGATTTGTGTGAATTTAAAAATAGCTTTTAATAGCGTTTAATGGCTACTGCATTTCATGAGTTTGAGCAGCAAGACAGCCTGACCCAATCACTTAGTGCTCCATCTCCCAGGTGGCATAGTTGAATGGAGCTTATGAGGAATGGCTTCAAAAACTGAACAAGCTGTTCCTAAATACTCAAAATGGACCACGGCCATGTGCTTTTAATAGACGCATCCTGCATATGCAACCTAAAAATGTCAGTTTCAACATTTTTAAATTTTTTTTAATTGCTTCTTTTGTATCTATCATACTGTGTGTCCTAAGTATTTTCAATTATTTGTCCTTCCAAATAATTGGTTAGGTTAACCTTGAGTTAGGTTGCCATTACTGACATTTTGCGACTAGAAACTGATGAATGCTTGTTAAAGGCCACAGTGGGAAATTATGGAGAGGGATCTAAATCTATATTTGGGGCGAGGGGGGTCTAAGTTCTGCACTCTATTCCAGGTCCACAATGATTTTCAAGTGTATCGCAATCCAAAATCAGCCTAGCTGAATGGAGCCTGGTGCCAGCATCTCATCATTCAGCATGAAAAAGGTTACATTTTTGTGAGCATTCATTGTGGGTCGTTGCAGTTAGACTCAAAGGCACTTGCATTAAGTGCTCGCTATTTCCATTTCCAGGCCCTTTTTTGAGTGCTGCTGCTGCTCCTGCCACCACTTGAAAGGTAAGAAAAGAGGAAGGTGGGGAATGTTTCGAGGAACGGATACTAGTGTGGACGAATTTGGAGAACTGTAAGGATATGCGGGTGGCGCTGTGGGTTAAACCACAGAGCCTAGGACTTGCCAATCAGAAGGTCGGCGGTTCGAATCCCTGCAACGGGGTGAGCTCCCGTTGCTCGGTCCCTGCTCCTGCCAACCTAGCAGTTGGAAAGCATGTCAAAGTGCAAGTAGATAAATAGGTACCGCTCCGGCGGGAAGGTAAACGGCATTTCCGTGCGCTGGTCTGGTTCACCAGAAGCGGCTTAATCATGCTGGCCACATGACCTGAAAGCTGTACTCTGGCTCCCTTGGCCAATAAAGCGAGATGAGCGCCGCAACCCCAGAGTCGGTCACGACTGGACCTAATGGTCAGGGGTCCCTTTACCTTTACCTTTTAAGTATTGGCAAGGATTGCTGGAAGGATCCAATAATTCATTTCTGACATGGATTTTAATTCAAGCCAGGAAACCTATTTCATGGTGAGCTTTTACCAGCCCTGAAAGTTCATTTTCTTTAAAACAAAAAAGGGAAACAAGGGAAAAGCTGTGCATGCCAGTGGCCATCAAAATACTGTGAGCTTGATGCATTGAATGAATGTTTGCCCACCCTGAGCCTAAACACTTAAGAAATGGACTCTACACTAATCATGCATGCGTACTAAAAGTACGGAACTGCCTTATACTGTGTCAGTCTAATGGTCCATCTAGCTCAGTACTGTCTACACGGACTGGCAGCATCTCTCCAGAGTTTCATGCAGGAATCTCTCCAATCCCTATCTGGAGATGCTGGGGATTGAAGCTGGAACCTTCTGCATGCAAAGCAGATGTTCTACTCTTGAGTTATGGCCCTTCCCCAACCCTTCTCATAAATTTCTATCATTTCTCTGCTTGATCATTAACAACAACAACAACAACAACAAGAAAACACCTAAGCCCCAAAGATCCAAATTCTTAAGTCTCCCACATAAGGAAGATGTTCTGCTTCCTCTGTTTTAGTTGTTTTCTGCCCTCTGTTTCAAGTTGAGGCATGAATTTGCCTTGTGACCCTTTGCAAAAGAGGGGAAAATCTGTGCATGCAGCATTAGCACAGTGAGCATAAAGCCCTCCTTGTCTTTTGTGTCTTTTGTCTGAAGGCGACTGTGCACGTGACAAAAGCCACACAGATCTTGAGCAAATGTTTGAAGAGCTTCTTGCACAACAGAGCTGAGCAAACATTCAGGCATACCATTTTTAACGCAGTGAGGGAACACATGGCAGCAAATGTGCTGGCACCAAGTACATTAAATGACGTTTGTACTGCAGAGAATAAATGGCACGAGAATTTGGTTCCTGTGCCCGTTTCTGCAAGGAAGAGGTGCTGCGCATTTTAGATGTCATTCAAAACTAACAGAATAGTCCCATTGTAGGACTGCAGTAACAAGCTGCAATCCTCCAAGCCATTCCTCTAAAACAGGTATGGGGAACTTGTAGCCCTCCAGATGTAGTTGAACTCCAACTCCCATTAGCCCCAGACAGCCTGGCCAGTAGTCAAGAGTGATGGGAGCAGGAGTCCAGCATAATCTGGAAGGCCACAGCTTCCCCAGCCTTGGTCTAAAATTTGAGAGCCCATGATTAGTGGCTCGTATTCTCAAACTGTCCCTATTTTTTGCACGTGTCTCTGGTAAAACACTGCCACTTGCATGTCCTTATTTGCTCTTGGGATGGGAAATTCTTGGGAATCTGGATATTTGTTTTGTAAGTGGACTCAAATACACTGAATGGAGAGGGACCATAGCTAGGGGGTACAAAGTTCATGTTTCATATATGAAAAGTCCTAAATTCACCCCTGTCCTGTCCAGTTAAACGGCTGCAGAACACTGGAGAGATTCTGTCACTCAGGGCGTACAAAACGGGTTAAATTATTTGACCTTGCAGAAGCCAGTTTCCTGTTTCCCTGTGGTTGTTCGGGTTTCAGCTCCTACTACTGGCTCCTTGGATGATAATTCTGTTTAGTGGAACCGGAGGCTTGTTGATCTCAGTGCATTTTCATATAAATGTGCACTCACAAACAATGTGGCAGAAAGTATTGTGCAGCATGACATATATATCACATGTTGCCACTTACAAGGCTCATTTAGGATTATTGCAAATAATGAGCATGTATCAGTCGCAAGGGCTGAATGTGATCCTCTAAACCCCTCTATCCAACCCTTGGGAGTCTCCACAGCCATGCCCCCTCTCTCAAACCTAGGGCTGCCATACGTTCTGGATTTTCCTGGACATTACCAGATTAGACATCTGGGGAAAATTTCCTGGGTCTTAGGCAATTCAATTTTGGGGTGTCCTGGTTTATACTTTTTGAAATATGGCAACCCTACAAACCACTCCCTTCACCATCCTTCCTTGCATGCTTTTGTTAACCAGAATGTGGCCTTGGAATGTGGTTCTGCTTCTTGTTTGTCTAGATGGAAGAGTTTGTTTTATTTTAAAGCATTTATAAACGGCACAAGATTTCAAAAATCTCTAAGTGGCATCCAGTTTAAAAAAAGCAAACAATATTTCATTAAAACATTAAAGCACAATGTGAAAGCAGTAAAACACAAACTCACACCCAAAGCCCATATAAAAGGGGGAGGGAAGCAAATCCAGAAGATTCAAACATGTAAAACAAAGTCCAATCTTCTGGGTGTCAGGGAAAGACCCAGACAAAGAAACAAGTCTTTGTAAGATGTCTGAAGTAACTGATGGGTGCTGCTTTCACTAAAGGCACAGAAAAGACATTCTACAGTACAGGGGCAAAATGGCCAATGAGACTCAGTAGGTTGTGGTGCTATAAGGAGACCCCCCCCCCCCCAGATTATCTAAATGATTTTATGGATCTATACAGGCACATGTGATCTTTCTTGTAACCCAAGTTGTTCAGGGCTTTATATGTTAACAACAAGACCAGTAGCTGATTTTATATATGTGAAGAATTTAAATTTTAAAAAATCCTCTAATATTGTGCACCAAAGAGCTTTAAATCATAGGCAATTTAATGTGAAAGGGTTTAAAATTGCAGTCTGCAAAATCATGAGACAGGCTGTCCTATGGAGGCAAAAAGCATTGCTAAAGAGAGGTTCAAGTAGAAGTAGGAAAAAGGGCAAAGGGAAATCTTGGAACAACAACAAAGGAAACAGGAAGGGGACACAAATGTGAAGTGATTTCAGAAACAAAGGCTTGCAAAGACTGTTCACACTGAAGAAATTTTTGACTGAAATGCTAAAGTACACAGTATAGAACAAAAGCTGTGTTGAGGCTGTTCCCGCTTTAAGCTGCCCCACCAGTAAAACCAAGTCCATGGAGTAGCTTACCACATTAAGTGCACCATCTATGCCATCAAAATTTTATGTATTTATTTATATTCATTTGAAATATTCCTGTCCCATCTTTCTTAAAGGAAGGAAATCTGAAGCAGCTTAAAATATTGTATTTAATTACTTAAGTGGGGAAAATATTTAGCAGCAGTTTGAGGCTTGCTTCTGCCTTCTGAACCATTTGATTTATTTTAGTTCTCTGGAAAGTTTATGCTTGCTATTTTGTGTCAGATGGCACATCAAGCCAGAATTTTTGTTTTAAAAAAGAATGGAGTGGGAGTATTGCACAAGGGATAAGGGGGGGGGCATGTTTTGGAGTATAAAGTTTCTTAACCTTTTCCCCTTTAGGCTTTTGAACGTTCCCTCCATATCATAACAAACCTTCTTCTCTTCTATAAGACATGTCTAATGTGGCACTGGCCTGGAATCTACCACAAGGAAGTGCCAAATATGTGAAACTGATGATTGCCGTGCTGTTTTCCTCATGTTCTTTGCTGCTGAATCAATTCAGTGCCAGCTGTTGTTGTTCCAAAAGAGTAGAACTGTTAGTGTGTTGTGGCAAACCCCCCCAACAAATTCTGTGACATCTTAAAGCAAAGGTGAGGAACCCTCTACCCTCCAAATGTTGCTGGATGACAATTCCACTGTCCCTGAAATATACTCGGAGTCGAGTGTGAATTTCATGCTCCTTATTCAGCTTGTAGTAGCAATGAATGAAACTTTCCCCAAAACATCTAGCTATATATACATTATTTATACAATGGGCCCCGCATGATTGGCTAATTCTGGGCTGCTCCTGTAGGCCAATCAGATTGCGGATTCCTTCCTCCAGAAGCCTGATTGGCTGCTCCTGCAAGCCAATCAGGTTGTTGATTCACTTCATCCAGGAACCTGATTGGCTGCTCCTGCAGGCCAATCAGGTCGCTGATTGACTTCCACCTGGAGCTGGATTGGGTGGCTCCTGCGGACCAATCAGACTGCTGCATCCTGGATCCTATTGTTCTGGAGAGCCTTGCCTTAAGACGTTTGTTGTGGCATGAACTTCCAAGGCAAAGGTATTGGAGGTGAGCTTCATGCATCTGTTGGAAGTGGGTTTTTGCGTAAGAAAGATCATGCTACAGTTCATCTTTTAGTCCCTAAGGGGCCATGAGGATTTTTACAGTGCAAACCTATACATGTCTACACCATTGCGTTTAATGGGTCTTATTCCCTGAGTATAGGATTGCAACCTTAGTTGCAAGCAATACGTGAGGTCAATCAGCTGAATTCGAGGTGTGCATTCCCTACTTAAGCAGTTGTCAGTGTGGTGTCTGTGGGCACACACATGCCCTTATATGTCCTCCTTGGTGCCCCAAGTGACACAACAATAACAACAACATGCAACACATTGTGCTAAGGTCATGGGCAACTAATGGATGTGCTTTAGATTTATAGCATGCCTCAGCCAAAAAGAACCTCCCTCCTATCCCCATAGCCAAATAATGTCAAATTAAGCATTCACTGTGATGCCTCATGCTTTCCTGACTTATGTTTGAGCCACAAAGGCCAGCTCAAAGAGATGCTACTGAAAGGCACTTGGGCTTGACTTTCATGTGTGTATGAAACTCAGGGATCAAGCACTGAGGGCTGTGTTCCCTCGTGGGCAATCTTCAGGAACCACATGTCAGTGGTGGGTGAGGAAACAGATGTGGCTCTGATATTTTCACAGCAAGCTGCACTCCAGCCATGCAGAAGCGAGAGGTTTCTACATGAGTATCTGTCTATCCAGGCAAGATAGAAGTATTATCATAGTTCAATGATATCTTCCAACCAAGCAAAAATAAGGAAACACCGGAGCAGGACCGGCGTGGGATATAGTCTGGTAGTTGGGGTGTGATGTGGTCTGGAGAGAGCACTGAGGGCCAAATAGAAAGGTCTGGAGGGCTGCCTTAGGCCCCTGGGACTAAGGTTATCCACTCTTGGTGTACGGAATAGCCGCATAAGGTGTTGACCTTCTTGTTAATTCAGTTGTTAATTGTGATAACACATTTGGGAGATTCGTGGTGTAAGAAGAGGTTGCATCCTGCCATTTACTACCCAACAGAGCCAGATCCTGAAAGTTAAAAGAAAACCCAGTAGATATAAAATCCTCAAATGCTGGGAAAATAGAAACAAAGACATATCAGTCATGAGCAGAGACTTGAGGCTGCTGGCGGTGCAGGGAGAGAAGGACCTTGTTAAGTAAGAGACAACTCTGGAATGATTGGACAGGCTTCAGCAGGTCCTGGCTTCACATCATATCACACCATGCTCCAGCTCCAGACAGTATGGAACCACTTGGGCATTTGACATCCACTCTCCTGGAATGCAGACTAAGTCGATTAGGTAGTTGAGCTGATTTAGAGAAGCTTCTGTTTTAAATACAAAACCTGAAGCCTACTAAGTACTTCAGCTGTTTTCAGAATACATATGGTAGAGGAGGACGCTGGGCAGTCACCAGGAATTCCTCTTTGCATCCTATAATTCTGAATCCGTTCATAAGAGTGACATCTATTGTCATAACCTATTATTACATTATGCCCAAATACTTGTCCTTTAAGCCAGACAGTTCAAACGAAAATGGAGGTGGTGGTGGTAGGAATTCATCTGCTTTTCTACCTCGAAAAAAAGCCTCACAGTCTGATGGGAGTTAGTGTGCAGTCTCCCTGTGCTACATGATTCCCTATGAAGGGGAAGGGGAATGCCAGCCCATAAGGCCAAATCGGAATGATAACTCTTTGTGCCAATGCCGTTTGGGCACCAAAGTGGAAGCCTGAAGGGGAAGAGTGTCCCTGAGAAATACTTAAATATTTCTGCTGTGGGATGGAGTCCTCCTGAAACCTTTGGCCTGGTGGGATTGGAAGCAGTGGAATCAATTTCTAAAAAACCACACCATTTGGGTATGGCTAAGGTTTTAAAAGTGTGTATGTGTGTATGTAGAAGTCTAATGTTAAAGGACCCGAGATGATGATGATGATGATGATAATGTTGTAATGTATGAAAACTATTATTATTATTAATTCATAGCTTTTAATAAAATGTCTCAAACTGGCTTACAAAATATGGCAGTAGGCAAATTACTATGAAGGAGGAAATTTTTTTCACTAGGTAGGAATGGGTGCTTGAGCCTCTGAACAGAAGGTTTGGCTCAGAAAACAATACTCTGTGAACTCTTGTCCTAATTTCTATATACATAAAACTAAAATGGCTTGAGGAAATCGGTGTGGTGTGTAGAGTGTTTGTCAAAGAATTCACATCCTTTCATTTCATTTTTGTTTCCTTGTATTGTGGTATCACAGCTCTATGTCTTTACTCATTAACTGCTAACATTAAAAGTGTTGTTTTAACACTGACCTTGACTTTAACACGGTTGGTGCTTTTTCTACAAAGGTTAGGAATTTGCAGTGGCATCTAGCGAGCTGGAAAACAATCAGACCTGAAAGTTTTTTGTGGTTTTTTTTACATCACTCCCCCTGAAACAATACACGGAGACAATATTTTCCTTTGCTCTCTCTGTCACGCACCATTTTGATTTCCAAGGGCACATGTGCATTTGCACAACTTTGTTCTTGAATTTTGTAAAACTCAGTTTAAATTAAAGAGAGAGAAAATATTAGATAGGAATATAGGGAGCTGCTTTAGTGCTTTATACCAGGGCAGACATTTTGATCACCGGGCACAGTAATGTCTAAATGCTCTGCAAATAGTCCTGCCCTCCACCCCAAACCAAACAAACAGGTACGGGGGAGGGAGCAGGATGGGCTTCACAGTGAAACACGTGAGAAGTGATCTTGGAACTGCAGTTTATCCCAAGCCAGCAGTGTAGTGCGGCTACAAAAAAGGCCAAATGCCATTCCAAGCTGCATCAATAGAACCAGAGTTTCCAAGTTCATGAGAAGTAATAGTTCCACTTTATTCTGCACTATTCAGACCACAGCCTGAGCATTATGCTCAGTTCTAGGAATGACACTTTCAGAAGGATGCAATCTGGAATGGTTAAGTTTATTAATGATTAAGAGACTAGGGAATAAGAAGGCTTACTCTGTTTTATTTCCCCTTGTTTGCTTCATTGTTTCTGAGACCTGCCCTTCTGCAATTTCTTTTTTTTCTGTGCAAAGTCCAGATCTGTGATTTAATTGGCGGGAGTGGATTCTGCTCACAGTCTGCAGGTACCTCCTAATAATAGCGCTAGGCAGACATCAGCCTAGACGTGTCCAAGATCAGTTTTTAATCTGAATTTTATTACTAATGACTAATGGGGAGAAAAAGTGTGATTGGATTTTTGGCTCATTTCTAATTGCTGGCTGACTCAACAGAATTTTTACCAGTTCTCTCTCTCTTGTAACTTCTTTATTATCTGTGGAAGATACACCACCAGCACCATCAACACATAGTTCCTGACCTTTGCAACAGTTCTGAAACCAACAGGCACATTTTGCACATATTAGCTGTAATTTATTGATGTCCATGGGAGGTAAGAGCAACATTTATTTTCCGAGTCAAATTGTGGCTTAAGAAAAGCATTACAGAAAGTTGATAAGACTCTTCCTCTTGATGGAAATATTTATGCACACATCCTTATTGCACTTGTAGGTGAACCAGGGAAATCCCTCCATATGGAACTGCACTATCAAAACCAACCAACCAACCAACCAATACCCCTGCTTTATCAGTTAGATTTTGTACTAGAACCATAGAATTGTAGAGCTGGAAGGGACCACAAGGAGCATCTAGTCCAACCTCCTGCAATGCTATGCTAAGAGTGCAATCCTGCACTTATTTATTTGCAAGCCAATCCCATTGAACTCAATGAGGCTCACTTCTGAGTAGACATGTATAGAATGGCACTGTTAGTGTCATACAAAGTGCATATCTTCTGCCTGGAAATGTTTATGTCCTGGGCAGACAAGCCTGCCCAGATGGTTAGAAAGTTGATGCAAATCTTAATATGCTTTCAGTCCATTTTTGTTCTAACTTTTTGAACGTCTTAAATTATTGTTGTTAATTTTTCTTTGTGGTAATTTTATTGTTTTCTCTTTTTTTGTAAACCACTCTAAGGGATTTTTTAAACAACCAAGCAGTGTATAATTTTTTTTGTGTGTGTGTGTGTGTGTAAAACACCTCATCATACAGATCATTTTCTTGATATATTTTTTCTTTAGTTATAACAGGTTATAAACCCTGTTGTTCAAATGGATACTGCATTTTGAGGCTGATCTTATTAATGGCTGGGTTGGGACATTAATAATAGAATAAAGATTGCAGCAAAAAGGAAAGGGACCCAAAGCCACACAGGAGTTAGCAAAAGAACATAAGGAAGAATCATTCTGGATTGGTCATGATTGAAGAGTCAGGGCAGAGAGGCTTGGACATAAGGGATGGACAATGGAAGAAGGTGGAACATGAGAGAACAAGAGTAGGATGAACTGAAATCCCTTAAAGTACCTTTTTCCATTGCCCAGGCAAAAGCCAATGTTAGGCTCATGCTGCATTTGCCCAGAGACATATTACTGGTAGTCTGTCAGTACCACTGAAGTGGAAGTCTCTCAGCTAGGTAGGCATTTCTGGTAAAACCTAGTTCTGTGCAGCTTATGAGGCTGTGTTCCAGAATTGGCTGTTGAGATGGCCAGTCCCCGGCATAAATCCCCCATCATATTCCAGGAAATGGAAATATTATTACTGCAAGCAGTTATCCTTTGTACATACATAAAGCAGAAAAAGACACTTGGAGGCATGTAGGAAAAGTTTATAGTCTTTACTCTTATTTCATTTTAATGGATTATATGCAAAGTGGCATACTGCTTTTGATGCCGAAGCAGTTCTCTTTCATTGCCTATAGGTAAGCCATCCTAAGGGGCTAAGCATAGCTGCAAAGGGAATTTGGTTCAAGAAAATAGCACAAGAGAAAGGGCAATCCTTCCCTCCCCCTGAGCTGCTCCTCCAATCAAATACAGAGCCTTCTACAGTGGCTTCAAAGTAAAAGCAAACCTTTGGGGAGATCCAGTCATACAGTTTGGCTCTAAACAAGTCTATTCTCTTTATCCTTTTAGTAGAAAATGTCTTATTTTTGCTGCATTTTCCTGTCCGTTTCCCACAGCTCTTTACAAAATAGCAGGAAATGACTATTGTTTTGAGGCTAGTTTGGTTTATTTTTAAATGTTGGATGCCAAAGGTTGTTTCTTCTTCTTCTTCTTCTTCTTCTTCTTCTTCTTCTTCTTCTTCTTCTTCCCAAATTCATTTGCAAAAGAAATCCAGCTGTTAGGTTACAAGGAGAAGGCACTTTTCAGCTTTAGGGCTTCACTACATCTAGGAAATACAAAAGAGGAGTTGTCACAGGGACAAATCCAAAGGGCTAATGATGCTGCAATGTGCATCTAAGGGCTAATCCAGATTTCTGCTTGTGCTGCTGCTTCCTCCTGGGAAAGCCTGCTCTTTAATGCTGAATCAGAGCAGAGCATACTGTACGTTAGTCAGGTTTTTCACAGATTTACATTTGCTCTGATTTAGCACTAAAGAGCAGGTTTTGCCTTGGAAAGTGACCGGACAAGGGGAAAACCACTAGGACCTGTGCTTTCTAGCCATAATACAACACATATGTACAAGCAAAATGCCATGACCAGTTCTATTGAGTGCATAAATGAAATGAAATACTTACCAATTCATGTGATGTGGGAACAGTGCAACAACAAGTTTGAGTGACTTCCACTCCTTTTCCACATTTCCAGGGTAAAGTGAGAAGGGGCATCCCTTTATCACAGGTATATTATTATTAATTTTTATTGTTATTATCATCTGGTGAACCTATGGCTCTTCAGATGTCTCCGAACTACCATCAGCCCCAACCAGCATGACCAGTGGTTGAGGATTATGTAAGTTGGAGTGCAACAATGTCTGGAGGAGCACACGTTCCCCATCCGTGCTCTATGGATACTCAATGTGGAATCAGCTCATACATCTCTCCCCCACCCACCTCCATTCTGCTTTGCAGAATTTCCTGGATGTGAAGTTCTTCCCATCTGCACTTTCCCATCTCATGTCAAACTATCTGAAGTGACAGTATAAGTATATATGAAAATCTATGTATTTGGGGCTGATGGAATGTAATAGTGAAGAGCTATGAGTCAAAGGAATCCCTCATCCACATCTCATTTCAGCTCAGCTATAAATTTTAGGCAGGACACCATCAGTACTTTTACCTCCATATTGCAGAAGGGGACAGGAAGCTAAGGGGTAGAAGAAAAAGCCTAATGCATTTCAGACCTCTCAGGTCCTCCTTCAGGGAATTCTACAGATAAAATTATTTGTATGCAATTTTGTTTGGGAATTCTGAGAACTGCATGTACTACCTTTGTATATCATAACAGATTTAAAAAGAACAATGAAAGAATAATTGTAACCAATACAAATGGAAAACGTGCCTAAAGTGTTTGCGGTTATATATTAATATGGTGAAAGCAGTATATCTACAATGACAAACATTGATTACTTAAACACAGCAGTTCAATCTTTCTTTGTTGTAGGCTCCTCTTTCCTTCTACTGAATAATAATGCTGGCTTATTTCACACTATTTTTAAACAGATTGCTGAGATAATGTCCAAGAGCTGCCATTTCAGTACTACATTGTTATTTAAAACATAGCTTTATTTCAAACTCACAATCTGATTTTTTGTTGAACTAAGAAACATTTTTTTTCCAGCAAAAATGCACTGTTGTAACTAAGTATGAAATGTAGCAATAAACCACTAGTACCAAAAAGTGAACCCAGGGGCTATGGCAGCTGGGAGGGATATTGTAGGGTTGGGAAAGGTCCAGAAGAGGGTAACAAAAATGCTCAAGGGCACAGAGACTCCCTTATGAGGAACAACTGCCTCCATGGATGGCAGCAGTAATGTTTCTGAATACCAGTTCCTGAAAACCACAGTGGAGAGTGTGCTCTCGCACTTAGCTACTGGTTGTGAGTTTCCTGCAGGCATCTGGCTGGCCACTGTGAGAACAAGATGCTGGATGAGATGGGTCCCTGGCCTGACCCAGCAGGCTCTTCTTATGTCCATCAATTAATCTTAGAGGTTATGGAGGTAGCAGCTCTTGAAAGGTGCTACCAAAATCCTTTTACATACGTTGCATATTTTCAACCGTAACGCTAGAGCCATTTAAAACAAACAGACAAACAAACAAACAAACAAACAAAAACCGTAGCTGTAAGCTTCTCTTTTGGTTTCACTGCAGTTCTATACAAAATCCCATATATGTGGCGAGTTCCGATGTGTGGCGAGTTACTACCAGGTTCGGTAAGCCTCCTAACAGATTAGCCCACGTTATCTTTATGATTGCGTGCCACAAGCAGTGAATAGGATGGAGAGGGAGAGGGAGAGAGAGAATGATTTTGAACTACTGAGCTGTGGATCAGACAAGGAACCCAGCCAAGTGAAACAGACGAATAGTAGCTCTAGGCATTGTCATGCCAAGTACCTAGGCTGCTTTGCAGGCAGCTTTGGAGAGGGTTTTTTTTTAAAAAAAACAGAAGTGGGAGGGGGGAAGGCGGATAGTCTTCTTTCTGTCTTAGCCAAGCAGAGAAGCCAATCAAAGGCTGTTCTTCGTGGTCTGCCTCCTTTGTTTCCACAGGAGGTCCCGCCTTCTACCTTTGTCCCCCGTCCCCCGCTTGCTGCAGTTCTGCTTAACGTAAAACAATGGGTATGCAATGATAACAGGCACTTGTTCCAAGGTCGTCTTGTTTATCAGGATTAACTGTTACACCAGTAAACAAAGCAGGGTGTGTAAGGGCTTTCTCCCTCCTGCTGGTCTGCCTGGTCTTTGTGGTTCCGGATTCCAGATGGCACTGTGTACGTACACACAGAGAGAGAAAGACAGACTCACTCACTCTCTCACACACACACATTTTAGAGTGTTGTCCTGGCCGGGTTACTTCCACCCCACCCCATTGTTTGGAAATGGCTTTGATGCAGAGCTCTCCCCACCCAGCCCCCTTTCAAAATAATGAAATGCAGTGGCAGCTGGCTAATGGCTGGGAAAGTGCAGACCTGGCACTGAACTCTTCCCATTAGACTATTCAGCACCAAGGCAGTGTCAGTCTCAAGGAGAGGGCAAAGAAAAGAGGCTGGTTGCCACGCACCTTTTGGACAGGCTGATGTAGGTGGGGTTTTATTTTGGTGCTGAATGGAGGTGGGGTGGTAGAGGCAGTGGGAAAGTGGATTCATCACGGTTTACTGTCTTCACTTTCCAAGAATAAGCAAGTTCAGAGCAGTTATATATATATATATTAAAAAGTTAGGCTGGCTTTAAAACTATGGCTTGTTCAAAAAATTCAAGGCCTTGTGAATTTCCTCTCTTTCTTCACAGATGTCAGCTGTCCTTACCTAGAATGCAGGAGGTTTTTACTCTGTGCATTAAGAATAACAGATACTTTATTTTGATACTGCAAGCTCATATAGAATATATATCTATGTGGTGTGCAGAATTGCAGTTGAAACCAAAACAGCGTAGCAAATAAAATCAAGCAGAACACGTCAATGAAACAGAAATACAAAAAACAGGTCATACAGCATGTAAGTTATAAAAACTATAAACTGTTTTCATAGGAAGGTTGGTTGAAGGAACCAAGTATTAAGTAGCTGCACCGCCATGTTGTGCTAAATTTCATTAGCTCTAGTGGATGTTTGCACAAAAATGGTGGGAAAGAACTGTATGCCGAAATACCACCCCAAATTTCATGATGTGGGCAGCAGGGGTGTGGTCCATGAAAACTGTATAGAATTTACTCTCACAACCCCCTGGGTTATCACACACACACATTTTTGGAAGCATTTAACATGGTATACTTCTTCTAGAATTCATTAGATTTTCTGCTAATGCCTCCATATAGTGGAACACTCTTCCCTCTTGCATACATAAAAGAGCAACCAAGAATTGTTTCAGATGTTTTGTAAACTCTTCTCCTTTTGCCCATGCTTTCCCCAATTCATAAGACCAGACATTGTTTTCTGCATTTGGATCCCCTTAATTTCTCTGTTATTTGTTTTTGTGTTTTTATATTGCTGTTTTATTGGTTATCTGTTGTATGTTTATTGAAATTATTGTTGTTTTAATATTGTATACTTTTTAGAGCTTTTTTTGGAAAATTCAGCAGCCTGTACATGCATTAAAACACATTAATAAAATTATGGGAATTTGGTTCCAGTTCATTGCTTATGGGGGTATGCCAGATTCATACATCATAAAGCTGTCCAAATATTGATTGCTTTGTGTTTATTGATCACTGACAATTTCATAATAATTCCTGTTGCTTCAGACGACCACATCTTTTTTTCCATTTCCTCCGATTTAATTTTTGTGTGAATGTTATCAGATCTATCTACTTGGTAATAACTCAGGAGTTAGTTCCCCCTTTCTTTTAAAATTGTTACTGTTTCATTGTGTGGATAACATTTTATCCTTTATGAGAATTAATATGTTGTCTTATGACAGCTTTGTATTTTTTTAAAAATGCAACCCTTGCTGAAACTATACCAAATAAAAAAGGGGGGTATAATCTATGGAGCTTGAATTCTAGATTGCATTATCTGCACATTAAAAGTGTACAATTTATACAGCAGTTGAGGCAACCTTTACAATGAACACAGTTTACAAATATACATGCATATACAATTCTAGAAAACTTTCTAGACTTAATACTCAGACCCATTAATGCTACTCTTACTGGTACTTTGTTGTGTTCTAGTAGAGGTGAGTTGCAGGAATTTTAGCCTTTAGGACTTATTTAAAACACTTTTACATAAAATGCCTCAAACACAAAAGAAGCTGAAATGTGACCTTTTTCTAAATTGCATTAAATTTAAGTAATTTTCTCCCCTATAATTTCAAACTGTCTACTTCCAGCTGAATGAGAAGCAAAATCCAAGCATGTATTAAATAACTTCCTCTCTGCCTCAATAGGGAACATTTGAAGATGGGCTGGTGATCACATTTTTAGACCTTTGTGCTGTAAATGTCATGAACTGGCAGAACAATGGGAAGGAGGAAAAGGAGGAATAGGATCCCGGCGAGGGGTGTAGCCAGGACTGGGACAAACTGGGGCAAGCTGGGGATGGGGAAGGACAGGTTGGTGTAGGAAGTGCTCACAGGATGACAGAGGAGTAGGAGGTCAGTGTACAGGAACCAGAGTAGCAAGACCCATCACCAGAGCCAGAGGGGCCCCTATCTCCATGAACATGGCAGGCTCTGAGGCATAAGCAGCAATGGATAGTACACTCTAGGAGGCTGAGGCAGGCAAGGGCAGACAGCCCAGCTCCCTAGCTGGCCAGGTGGGGCTCGCTACCTCTGGGAAAAGGGGTATGATTTCTCAGCTGGAGTAGGCAGAACAGGTGAGGGCCATTTGCCTCATTGAGGCCAGGTGCTGCAATCAGCCTGCAAAGTACAAAAGGGAAGCTATGTGGGCTCAACTGCCCTTTTGATGGATCTTGACTTGGATGCTGTTGGACCTCAGGTTTAACTCTGGACTGCTGGAGTTCAGACTTGGCTACTTGGATGGACTGTATTCCTGGCCTTTGAACTTTTGGACTTTGCTTGTGTGGATTGATTCTGGGACCTTAAACTATGGACTTGGCATACTGACTTCCTGCCAGGTAGGCCAGGGGTTCAGAACAGTGAAGGCTTCTGCTGATCAGAGCCAGGGATACAATAGGCTCACTTATTTGTAAGGGTTGTATTCCCCAATCCTGGATTTTTAGAGGAAAATTGAGTGCCCTTCCATTTTTATTTTGACCGTAATAAATATTACACGTTTTACAGCCAAAGATAATTCAGTTTGCATTGCTGCCCATAAAACATGCAACATTCTACCATAAAATGGGTAGTTACTATGCTCTCTTAGTGCATAAATGTTTGCATGATAAGAGTTTGTATAAGGTATTTCAACATAGTCCTTTGAATGAAAGTAAGCAATAGGATTACATCAAAGTCCGTAGTTTAAGGATGGATTTAACAGCTTGAGCCCAAGATTTGCTGTGCTAGCATGTAATTGTTTATGGTGGGACATAAAACCATTGCACCAGCAGGCATAACATAACTTAATGCCAGTGCTGGCAGCATAGGTAAATTCATTGGTGTAAATGTTTGTAGTCACTGTGCTGAGATGCTTTGTCTATCCAAAGCTTCTCAGTTTCATTGACCGTGAAGTATATTGTTATAGGTTTGTGGGTGCCAGTCTCGCTTAAATTCCTGGGTCCAGTAGGTGTTTGAATTTAATCAAAGCTTGAGGAGTTAAACTGGATCCCAGATTCCTAATCCCTGGAGCCAGTTTCCCATGTTCCAGAGATCACCTGGGTGATGGACCATTAAGAGAACAAAGTAAAGGTGGCAAGCCATTAAGAAAGCAAAGGCTCTGTGACAGACAGCAAATGGGTGGTGCCCCTTCCTCAACTCAGAGTTTTAAATATTTTAATATGGACTTTTATTCACATTATTTGGCTGGGAAACTGCACTACAAAATTTAGAGGATTGCAAAGTCTGGATCATGGATATGTTTTGGGTCCTGTATTGCTTTGGAGAATGTGAGCTAGGCAAATTCTCTTTTACATGAGAAATGAATAAAATGTCTTCCCCATCCCTAGTTAAGAGGCTGGGGTGCTACTTTCTTCCAATGATTCTGTCAGCACAACCCAACAGAACAATTTCTCCTCTCCTCCCCACTGCCATCATTCTGAGTGTTCTCCAAATCCCATTGTGCTAGTGGTGCTCACTGTACTCAGAGGCGGAGCAACCTGCTCCAGTACCCGGAGCGGCGCTCGTCCGAGGGGGCATGGCTCATGTCCAAGGGGGCGTGGCGTGCATCCTGAGAGGTGCACGGTGAGCACCCAAGGAGGTGCCGCTGATCACTGTTCACCCCTCCTTTGGAATGGCACCTGGGGTGGACTGCCCTCCCCTGCCTCCGCCTCGGAACGCCCCTGACTGTACTGCCTCCAGCTAGCACACCTACACAGGCCTTGATTGGTCCATGCCATAATGAGGCCTATTCATGTGGTAAATCTGAGAGAGAGCGAGAGTGCAACTGCAAAATTCACCATGATGAGAATGCTTTTTAAGCATCAACCTTGTGGCAAGTGGCTCTGTCAGGAAGCCATAACTTAACACCGCTAGTGATATTTTCATTTTCTCAATGAGAAAACAGAGGTACCTTTTTGGAGACTTTCGTATGTGTGTGTTGATTTTATTGTTCGTTTCTACCCTGGGACTGTTGGTTGAAGGGTGGACTATGAATGCTTTTAATAAACAAAGAAGTATGGTGTACACATGGCTCTGTGACTATAATAGTCATTGACAATAGTTTGAGAAACAGCCATTGCCACAAAGCAGTCTCACTAAAGCTCTTTAATGACCTTCCTGTCACATCTGATTGGCTGTCTAGGGAGTGAAGTGTCACTTGAAACTTTGTCTGCCAGGAAAATTTAAAGGTGGCTTGGAAAGCAGATACTATATTTGAGCCTTAAAACAGAAAGTGAATAGGCTTAACCTACTGATTTAGGCATCTTGTGCCCTGATTTAATAAAAACCTGTTTTCTAGATGATGCTATACACAAAAAGAAGTATAAATATCCAGTTGGTTACCATTAGATTTCATTTCTAAATGATGCCAAAGAAAGATGTATTTTAAGGAGCCCCCAATAACCAGGAAGAAGAACTGTTAGGAGGCTTGGGGGAGGAGGTACTGGGTCACAAACATTGTTTGCACCTGACGACATAGACCATGAGACTCACATTCCATACCTAATACTTCTGTTTTTCTGAATATTAAAATGCTGCAAAAGACCCAATGGAACAGTCTAAAATTGCATATTTCAGTCTTGTTCCTTTCCCCTTAGAGAATTTGGGCTTTGGATCCAGGTGCACAAAAGGATGGAAATGTAAACTTCCAGGAAGTGTTATCTGAAGGCCTCCAGGCAGGATTGTTCAACTGTCCAGACACTGATTGATATCAATAATTTCTTTTTTTTTTAATAAATATTTATTAAAAGTTTAACAATTACAGAAAAGGAGGGGGGGAAAGAAAACAGTAAAAAATTACATCAAAAGAAAATAAAAACCAGATTAGAAAGGAAACAATGCAATACAACAATAAAAACAACAACCCCCCCAAAAAACATTTAAAAACAAGATACATTTAAAAACACACCCAATATTCCTTATCTTTACCTTTCATTTGCCTGTTTCATCGACCTCCTCACACCTCCCTTTTTGTATTCTAGTTCAGTTAACTATTTCAGCAAATTCTTTCCATCTTTCTCAATTTTTGTTCTGTAATTTATCTTAACGGTCTAACCTTTAATTTTTCCATTTTTACCCATTATCAACTTTTACTTAAATCTTTATTACATTTCTGTTAAAACCATATAGCTTCATTCCAACATCCTTCTAACATTCATTAATTTTGCAATGTTTTTGTAAATATACTTTGAATTTTTTCCAATCTTCTTCCACCAACTCTTCTCCCTGGTCTCGGATTCTGCCAGTCATTTCTGCCAGTTCCATGTAGTCCATCAGCTTCATCTGCCATTCTTCCCTGGTAGGTAGATCGTGTCTTCCAGTGCTTTGCAATGAGTATTCTTGCTGCTGTTGTGGCATACATAAAAAAAGTTCTATCCTTCTTTGACACCAATTGGCCGACCATGCCCAGGATAAAGGCCTCTGGTTTCTTCAGGAAGGTATATTTAAATACCTTTTCCTTTCATTATAGATCATCTCCCAGAATGCCTTAATCCTTGGGCATGTCCACCAAAGGTGAAAGAATGTACCTTCAGTTTCATTACATTTCCAACATTTGTTATCGGGCAAATGATAAATTTTTGCAAGCTTGACTGGTGTTATGTACCACCTATAAATCATTTTCATTAAATTCTCTTTTAAGGCATTACATGCCGTAAACTTCATACCAGTGGTCCATAACTGTTCCCAGTCAGCCATCATGATATTATGTCCAACATCTTGTGCCCATTTAATCATAGCAGATTTCACCATTTCATCTTGTGTATTCCATTTCAACAGCAAGTTATACATTCTTGACAAATTCTTAACTTTAGGGTCTAACAGTTCTGTTTCCAGTTTTGATTTTTCCACCTGGAGCCTAATTTTTAATCCAAATTATATGCCTATCCAAATTATATGCCGATATCAATAATTTCTAGTCGGAGCACCTGTTATTCTGGGCTCAATTTTGCAGACGAGGGGTAAAATGTAACTGACGGGAAGGGAACATTTTTCAGCTCGAGGCCTGCATTCTCTTTGGAGAAACCTTCTGGGGGCCACATGGTAGGTGGAGCAACAAATGGGAGTTTTAGTTCTGTACAGTAGGTTAGTCTTTACCCTAGCTTGAGAAGTATATTTTTTATATCTCCCACCTTATTTCTGTAATTTTGTTTTAAACTGTTTTTAATTGCTGTAACGCACCCTGGGATCTTGGGCTGAAGGGTGTGACAAGAAGTTTCTACACACCCACACCCCTCTCTGTTCTCCATCCAGGTAAAAAAAGAAGCAGCATTATTGGAGTTCTAGAACATATTCCAGCCAGTTAAAAATAGTCAAGGAAGGTACAAAGGAGGGCTTGTGGGGGTGTGTGGCCTGGGGAGAATTCCAAGGGCCAGACAGAGAGTTCTGGAGGGCCACATTTGGTCCCCAGCCTGAGGTTCCCCACCCTAGGGAACTTGGGACAATGCAGTCTCAGGGATGTCTATTTTCACTGGTAATGGAGGAAGACTCAGGATGAGCTCTGTGCTGTGGTGACTACAGCAGCAAATAAATACTTTCTCCATTGTCACTATTACATCTGCACAGACTTGTCCTGCTGAGCTGACTTGAGTAGTAAGAGGTATATTGTATCAAGGACTAGAGAAAATCGAATATGAGGTCTTAGCAGCCTGCTGGGACAATTTCGCTAGACAGTTTGTGGATAAAGTTGCTCGCATTCACTCTGATGCCATGGTTATAGCTGATCCTGAGAGTGTACTGTTGGCACCTATTTGTCTGGTTGTGATGGATACAATTCAATTTGTACAGCCTGAGGAAGATAAGATCTTTCGTAATGTGAGATCAACCACATGTGCACTTAATCCTTGCCCATTTGGGCTGATTAAAGTAGTCAGAGGATGCTTGGTGGAGTGGATAAGGAAAGTGGTGAATGATTCCCCAGAGCAAGAAAAATTCCAGCTAGTGTTGTAAGACCACTGTAAAAAAGCCCTCTCTAGAGCCTACTATCTTGGATCATTACCAGCTACTCCAAATTTTGCTTTTCCTGAGCAATATTTTTGAGAATGTAGTAGCATCTTAGTCTGTTTCATCCAAGAACCACTGGAGCTATCTAGACCCATTTTTTATTTGATTCAGGACTAGTTTGGGGATTGAGATAGCTTTGGTAAATTGGGTAGACGATCTTCATAGACAGGGAGATCATGTTTCCGCTAGACACTTCAGCAGTGTTCAGTACCATTGAACCTGGTATCCTGGACTTACTGATGGGGATGGGAGTAGGAGGAACTGTTTTGTGGTGGTTCTGGTGCTTCCTTGAGGAAGGTTCCAGAAATAATGTTAGAGGTCCCCTTCTTTGCACCTTGGCTACTTGCTTATACTGTCCAGAAGATTGTCTCCACCCTCCATGTTACCCAGAACTTCTTTGAGAATTCATCCAGGGATTTAGATTGTGTTGTGTGCAGATGACACACAACTCTATGTCCCTTCCAGAAAAGCTGCCCACTTCCTGAGGTTATCTGTGTCCCACCTAGGGTGTAAGCATGTTTGAGGTGAATTAGAGAGGAGGACTTCTCAGTAGCTACATTTACCTTATGAATTTTCTAGCCTTGTGATTTGCCATTTTCCTCCTGCCTCACTTACTCAGCATTTTATTCTTGCAGGCTTTTGTTGCATGTAGTAGATAATGTTTTTATACTTGGTTTTAACCACTATCCCTGTTTTCTTGGTTGATGGTTTGTTGTTTTCTGAAACTAATTTTAAACACTGCAAGTCACCCTAGTCGTCTTTGACCAGGGACAGCTCTATTTAGTTCCCAATCAACGTCCACAAAACCTTTTAAGTTCCCTCCCCTCCAAAATCATTATTTTAGTGTTTGTGTGCCATGTTGGCGTGTTCACAGGTGTTTTATCATGCTATGAGTAATGCACGCATGTTGGGACAAGTTTGTTAAAATAGGTCCTAAAGCCAAAAGAAGTGGTGTCAGATCTTAAATTCAGAATTTTTTTTTCTCAAGTGGGGAAAGAAAACATTTTACTATTTGAATTTAAGGCATATCCAGCTACTGGGGGAAAAGAATAGAAATATTTGTTCTAGTTAACTGTAATCTAAGTTTAGCCATCTGGAGGTCAAATCCTACAACTGAATCAACACGCTCTGATCTTATAAGGATCTTATATCATATTTCCCAGCATAAATAGTTAGTTTCTACTCTGAATCTCTGCAGTTCCATTATAAACACCCCTATTAAGAATTTGTTGTTATCAAGTAAATGTATTTCCTACATGAGAAAAAGTGCACTCAATTTGCCTGGGAAAGTGAACAATGGTGAGTTGTGTGGATGGCCTCTCAAGCAGTTTCACCTATGCTAGGAACATACATCAAAGTCGTCTAATCCTGAGGTCGTAGAATGGAATACCGTGGACAACTTTCAAGGGGTCTGCCATTAAAAATAGTATTCTGGGTCTTTCTTTCTACAACCATTTTATGTAGCTTGGAAAATTGTCAAGAGACAGTTATTTCTAAAGTTTAGCAAAAAAGTTGAAAGGGGAGGGATGTACAACAGTTCTGAAAGCTGCCTTGCATGTGTTAACAATTTGCTCAGTTCTCTTGTGTCGATCATAACAACGTTTTATAACCAATACAGCAGCAAACATCTCACGTAGGAGTGTCACATCATACTATCCACATGTGTGGAAATTGCTCAGATTTCTTCTTGATGGAACCGACTTCTGAGCAGGAATGTGAAACGGCTCTGAGCATTGACAATTTGCTCAAGAGATGCTTGAACTGCCTTTTGATTTTCACGCATCTTTGCGGTGACATCAACCACCTGCAACATGCATGTTTAGATGCTAATGAATTTGTGCACTTAGAAATACAATTCCCATCTTTTTCTAATGTAGTGGGGTCTGTCCTCTGAATGTTCAGTTTCTGTATGAAAAAAATATGGGGGCTAGCACCAGGTGACACTCTTCTTTGAGTCAGTATCTATATATAGAAGTAGGAAAATGCAAATCCAAACCAAGTTCACATGGAAGCTCCCCAAATCTTTGTATGGTAATGCGCTTTGCCACCATTCAGGTTCTTTTGGCTAGGCCTCACAACATTTTCTTTGAAAACAGCACTACGGGCAGGAGCACAGATAGATATTTCCAACAGCATTTTTCCAGTCCAGCCTTTCTACCCCGTATAAAGATATCAACCAATGTGTGAGGGAGTATCTAAAACAAAACAAAACAAAACAAAACAAAACAAAACAAAACAACAGTATTTTTAAGGAAAACATAAGTACTTTCCAGTTGTGTTTCCTTCTCACACAAAATGACTTTGCTAGTTTTTCTAAATGCATTGTTGGGTCTTCAGTTATTTTGGCTACGAACAAGTCATTTCCTCTTTCTGTGAAGCTATCAAATTGGCACCCCTAAAGGCATTTTCCATTGCAGGCCCCAGATAGTTAAGATGGTTCTTTTTCTATTTTCCCTTTATAGTCTCCCTTTATAGAGGATGTTATTGGCAGGTAGGGATTTTTGGCTGTTAATATCACAGAGAGAGAGATACTGCTTCTTGGTAAATCTGTATATTATGTTTTCTTTACATTCCTTTCTTTGGTGATTGTATTTTTTTTTTTAAATGATATTTATTAAAATTTCAAAAACAAAAAATTACATAGTTAAAGAGAGAAGAAACAAGGAAAAATATATAAAAAAAGAGAAAAAAACATACAAAATACAAAGTACAGAAAAAAAATAAAAAAGAAACACTTAAAAACAAATTAATCCTTCCGTATCTTACATTTCATTTCCTTGCTTCCCTGACCTCCTCTCACCTCCCTTTTTTGTATTCCAGTTCAATTGGTTAATTCAGCAATTCCTTTCCCTCTTTGTTTATATCTTAGTCCTTTAACTTAATATTTTATAACTTTAGATTCTCACCTATTAACCCCATTTTTACATACACCTTTATGACATTGCTACTAGAACCACTTAATTTCATTCTAACATCATTCTAACATTCATTAATTTTACAATATTTCTGTAAATAGTCTTTAAATTTCTTCCAATCTTCTTCCACCGACTCGTCTCGGATCCTGCCAGTCATTTCCGCCAATTCCATGTAGTCCATCACCTTCATCTGCCATTCCCTTTCTTTGGTGATTGTAAACTGTTGCCTTCGTATTTTCTTTTTTTAGAAAAAGAATGACCTATTTGTTGCATCTCTGAGTTTCTGACATATACTTTGAAATACATTTTCTATTCTTAGGATGCAGTGAATGTTTCTAGTTTTAATTAAAAAGTCTTTCTATCCTGGCACTTCTCACACTCAGATTATGCTTTTGCTTTCCTTTGAAACCTGGCTGTAAATTGTAGCTGGCTGGTAATGGATTTCCCTTATAACCCTCCACTAAAATCTATTCGTTCTTCATGTTACAACTTCCATGGAGAAATATGACGTGGGAGTCGGAGACTATACCAAAAGGCTAAGATTATGAAACAGAAAATAATTATCTTGAGTTTCTTTGCCCTGCTAAATGAATGTTTTCACCCAGACTACAATATAATTTCCCCTATGGGGAGTCTATGAGGCTTGACCAGTGGAAGGGCCGCAGTTCATAAGTAGAACATCTGCACTGTATCCAGATGGTCCCAAGTGCAATCTCAAGCATCTCCTTAGAGCTGGTAGGGACCCCTGCCTGAAACCCTGGAGAGCCACTACCAGTGAGTGTAGCCAGGACTGAGCTAGATGGACGAGTGGTGTGACTTAGTATAAAGCATAAGTTCCCTGTGGATTGTGCTTTGTCCCTCAGAACTACAGTGGTACCTCGGGTTACAGACACTTCAGGTTACAGACGCTTGAGTTTACGGTTAAGAACTTTGCTTCAGGATGAGAACAGAAATTGTGCTCCAGTGGCGCAGCAGCAGCGGGAGGCCCCGTTAGCTAAAATGGTGCTTCAGGTTAAGAACTGTTTCAGGTTAAGAACAGACCTCTGGAACGAATTAAGTACTTAACCTGAGGTACCACTGTATAGGGGCCTTCTGGCGGTTCCCTCATTGCGAGAAGTGAGGTTACAGGGAACCGGACAGAGGGCCTTCTCGGTAGTGGTGCCTGCCCTCCCGTCAGATGTCAAGGAAATAAGCAGCTATCTTATTTTTAAAAGACATTTGAAAGCAGCCCTGTTTAGGGAAGTTTTTAATATTTAATGCTGTATTGTTTTTAACACTCGATTGGGAACCACCCAGAGTGGCTGGGAAAACTCAGCCAGATGGGCGGGGTATAAATAAATTATTATTATTATTATTATTATTATTGAAAAGCTTGGTCATGTTGAGTGCTGTGACTAACATCATGTTTGGTTTTGACCACAGACTGGTGCCAGTCTCATGATTACCTTGAGCTGTGATGAAAACATTATCATTTTACCACATAACTGGCATCATTCTAAATGATGCCATAGCAAAGGATTAGTCAGCATCGATAGTTAACCATGCAGCCTTCTACAGCAGCCACAAAGCTGACATAAGAAAATGAATAACACTCACAGCACAATCCTGCCCTGCCTATTTACGTAGAAGTGAGTCTTGCCAAGTTTAATTGATCTTGCTCCCAAGCAAGTGTGTTTGCAGCTGTGCAACCTGAATTTATGCATGTTGTCTTAGAAGTAGGTACCACTGTGTTAAAATTGGGCCCAAGTAAGTGTGCATAAGATTGTTATCATCATAAAAGATACATGAAAAAACATGCTCCTACCTTCCCAGCTGCACTGTGAATTTACAATTTGTTTTTTTTTTTTAAAGCAATTTATTGGGTTTTACAATAGGAATAAATGTAATAAACAATATAGCATTCGTCTTAACATATTTTCACATTTTCTTAGGACTTCCTCACATCTCCCGCTCCCACCTTCATCATTATAACATTTTGTCAGCAATTTATCATCTTATTTAAGTTCTTATATCTCTTCGATATTTCATAATCTTAAAGTTCTCATAAAGAGTTATACTTTCACAATTTTTCTTGTTTCCTTAAAAATTTCTAAGTTAAGTGGTGCTCAGTTATTTAGTCCAGCATCTTATTCAGCATTCAATCAAATCACAATATTTTTGTAGGTAGTTCTTAAATTTCTTCCAATCCTCCTCGATTCTCTCTTCTCCCAGGTCACGGATTCTGCCAGTCATTTCAGCCAGTTGCATATAGTCTATCAGTTGCATCTGCCATTCTTCCAGTGTGGGTAGATCTTGGGTTTTCCAATGTTTTGCAAGTAGTATCCTTGCTGCTGTTGTTGCGTACATAAAAATGTCTGGTCCTTCTTTGCCACCCCTTGGCTGACAATACCCAAAAGGAAAGCCTCTGGTTTCTTAGTGAAAGTATATTTAAATACCTTTTTCAATTCATTGTAAATCATTTCCCAGAACGCCTTCACTTTAGGGCATGTCCACCAGAGGTGAAAGAACGTTCCTTCACACTCTTTGCATTTCCAGCACTTGTTATCAGACAGGTGGTAAATTTTTGCGAGTTTGACTGGGGTCATATACCATCTATAAATCATTTTCATTACATTTTCTTTCAAAGCATTACATGCAGTAAATTTCAATCCATTACTCCACAGCCTTTCCCAGTCCTCAAACATAATATTATACCCAATATCCTGTGCCCACCTTATCATAGCCGATTTAACCATTTCATCTTGTGTATTCCATTCCAACAGCAAGTTATACATCCTTGAAAGTATCTTAGTCTTTGGTTCTAACAATTCTGTTTCTAATTTCGATTTTTCCACCTGGAACCCTAATTTCTTATCACTTTTAAAAACTTCTTTAATCTGAGCATAGTGTAACCAATCTCGCACTTTGTCTTTCATTTTCTCCAAGCTCTGCAATTTCCAATTGTCTCCATCTTTTTCTAGTATTTCCCAATATTTTGGCCATTTGGCCTCCATATTGGGTCTTTTTCGGGCCTGTGAATTTACAATTTGATAACGGCTTGTGTTAGCTTGCACCAGCTGCCCATACGCTACAAAGCCAGGTTCAAGGTTCTTGTATGAATGTACAAGGCCCTTAACAACTTGGGCCCAGAATTCCTCTGGGACCGTCTGAACCCTTATATCCCTCCCGAATCACTGAGTTAGTGGTCTGTCATGGCTCAGATACACAGTTCACATCCTCCAGTGTGAGCCAGTGTGGTGTTGTGGTTAAGAGTGGTAGACTCGTAATCTGGTGAACTGGGTTCGCATCTCCGCTCCTCCACATGCAGCTGCTGGGTGACCTTGGGCCAGTCACACTTCTCTGAAGTCTCTCAGCCTCACTCACCTCACAGAGTGTTTGTTGCGGGGGAGGAAGGGAAAGGAGAATGTTAGCCGCTTTGAGACTCCTTCGGGTAGTGATAAAGCGGAATATCAAATCCAAACTCTTCTTCTTCTTCTCCAGGAACCATGCAATCTGTATTGTGGGCCCAGTTTTATGAAACTCCGTAACTAAATCCTTATGTATTTCAGTTTAGGAATACTAGATTCCTAACTATGACTTGTGGGAAAACTCTCTCCCAAGTGGAAATAATGTGGCATCAACACTTTAAACTCATATAACACTATTGTGGTAGTTTCTATGTTAAAAAGAAGCACAACCATTGTCTGTACACAAAATATTATTATAATCACTATTACCATATCTGATCCTAAACCTCCACTGCCTTGCAGGATATATTCAGGAGAAGAAAAGGCTAAGGGGTAAACCATACACAAATCTGGAGTGGAGTCCCTAAGATGGTTGGTTGGCGCCTTGTATGCCTCCTTCCAGCACCACCTGCAGCCCGTTGTTGTTGTTTGTTGTTGTTTAGTCGTTTAGTCGTGTCCGACTCTTCGTGACCCCATGGACCAGAGCACGCCAGGCACTCGTGTCTTCCACTGCCTCCCACAGTTTAGTCAAACTCATGCTGGTAGCTTCGAGAACACTGTCCAACCATCTCGTCCTCTGTCATCCCCTTCTCCTTGTGCCCTCCATCTTTCCCAACATCAGGGTCTTTTCCAGGGAGTCTTCGCTTCTCATGAGGTGGCCAAAGTATTGGAGCCTCAGCTTCACGATCTGTCCTTCCAGTGAGCACTCAGGGCTGATTTCCTTCAGAATGGGTAGGTTTGATCTTGCAGTCCATGGGACTCTCAAGAGTCTCCTCCAGCACCATAATTCAAAAGCATAAATTCTTTGGCGATCAGCCTTTTTTATAGTCCAGCCCAGCTGGTGCCAAATGCATTGCTCTGCTTTTCTTTCGATCACATCAGCAAGGCTGAGAGGGAGGTCTTGTTGTCTGGGCAGCCCAGGACCTCCAGACACGCTGCCTAGGCTTCTGCCCCAGGGAGGTCACTTTGGTGCTGCTACCCAGCACCAGTTTGACTTCACGCCCAAACGTGCACTCCATTATCCCTTGAGACAGACAGATACCAACAAACAACGTCACCATATATGCACTATTAATAACAGTAAGCGGAGTGCCTTAAGGAGTTACCTGGACAGAAGCCTGCTCCCAAAAATCTTATAATCTAAAACAGACAATGAGGAAACAACAGAGGGAGGGAGGGTCACTCAATAGGGTGAGGAGGAATGTGGGCAAATACTGTTATACTTACTTAATTCTTGGTGGAGAATTTTAAGATAACAATAGTCCTTGGGTTAGCAGAGGGTGGTAGGGATGGGCAAAGTTACTGATAAGGATGTAGTGAAACAAGGGCCAAAGGATAGCTTAATTGACACATCTTTTCCATTTTGCCCTTACATTGACTAGTAACAAAGTCAAAGAAACAAAACAAAATGTAGTCGTGACCACTGAAGTTATTTTTTGTTCTTCACAAAACATAACTAGGAAAAGGAATGAAAGCTTGGGGGGGGGAGAGGTTCTCTCTTGACAGAACAGTATGCCAAGTTATATCTTATATTGGGCTGGACTACTCATTTAAGTTTGAACCCAGTAACTTTTCCATCAGGCATGACTATTCTAAGCAAAGTGTAAATGAAATAAAATGGGGTATGTTCTTGCATGTATTGTACCACCTTTTGGTCACAGGGATACCCTGGAGAATAGGCTGTGGGCTGTTGATTTAATGACATTCATATACATTTTGCCTCCAAAGAGATAGGCAGTTCTCAGACCGAGTCATTTTCAAAACTGGGGAAGGTAAAGGAATAAAGTATTCATATTTGGTTCAACATTCTTCCAACTCCAGAGAACAGTACATTGATGGTAAAGAACTACCCATTTTTCAAAGCTATTTTGTTTCTATTCTTGATTTGTGCTTGGCAGTAATTGGAAAAACAAGCTTTATTGCTGTTAATATTCATTGCTAGTATGTTATGTAAGCTCAAGAGAAAGGTAACAAATTTTGTTACCAGCTGGAACGGCAGGTTAACAGGCTCTTGTTGATTTTATCTACAGAGAATGTTGAAGGACTCATTTTGTGTCAAAGTAATTGCACTAGCAGGTGCAGTTGAGCAACTGTGTTTTGCTTGCGACACTGCTGTGTCTCACTGCTTACCACAAATGTTGATATATATATATATATGTATAAAAGAGTCAGTTCTGCTTTTACCATCTCCTGCAAACTGTCTGAAAGAATGGCATAAACAAGGATAATGCAACAGCTAAAGATTAGCAAACCAAAAGCCCACTTGTGTAGCGGTCCAGAGGATGAATCTGCCTAATGACTAATTGCAATTTAGATGATTTCTCAGAAGATGGTACTAGATTAAGCACTGAACAATTAAGAACTGTTATGAACTGGGCTCAGGCTTTTTCTTAGAAACTCATATCAAATGTCCTTCGTTGTTCAGAACATAGAGTACACAATTGCCAGTATTGCAAGGTAACTCTGGCAGAGATGGGGGATATGTAACCCTCTAGATGTTGCTGGAATATAACTCCCCTGACCTTTGTCCATGCTGTCTGAGACTGATGGGAACTGGAATCAACAACATCTGCAGGGTCTCAAGTCCCTCACTCCTGCCCTGAGGGTTATATTTGTGAAGTATTGGTTGGGTACAGCATTGGCTGTCCTATCAGACAGAGTGAGGTGGCCACGCCAGGGAGAAAATCCTAGGAGGCATGGGTGCCAGCTCTGTGACCCCTAAGCTATCCTTCTGCCTCCAAGCACTACAGAGAATGCTGTTCCTTCACCTGTGTTGAAATAAGATGCAGATGACAGGCTGCTGGAATGAGGAAAGGAGGCGCCATTTTGTCTCTTGCCTCAGGTAGCAAAGCTAGGAAATTTACCAAGCCCTTGGTGGGACATCATGCGTGGCTGTTGATGGTAGTCAGCTTTGTGGGTCATGAACTGCACAGGCCTGCGCTGTTTCTTCCAGTGATTCACAACTTGTGACCCACAAAGGTGAGCACTGCACTCCAACCATGTATATGATGTGCAATCTGTGGATCAGCAAATCTCTCAGCTTTGCTACTTGCCTGAGACTTCACAAATCAATGAATTGTCAAGTTACAGTTCAATGGATGGTGCTCCAAATTTGGCTTGATGGGTAATGAGTTATACAGGCCTGAAGTAGGTTATGTTGCAGCCCACTGACATTATTGCCAGTGGCTCACCCAAATGTGCTCCAATTCCACCAGCATTGCTTTCTGCAGGACCTAGAATGATCCTGGAGGAAGGGAGGTATGAGCATGTTCAGCTTCATTCTGCAGCAGCAACATGAGCTGTTCACTTCCAGGTCTAATTTAAGATGTAATTTCCTTACCTTCTTCATAGCTTATGTTGAGTTTATTTCTCAGAGATTGCCTGTTTGAGGCTTATTAAGGTCATTTTTAGGAGTTCAGTTTAAGGTGCCTTATAGTCAAATCTATAAAATGTAGGAAGAATAATAGAATTGTAGAGTTGGACGGGACCACAAGGGTCGTCTAGTCAACCCCCCCCATGCAATGCATGAATCTTTTGCCCAATGTGAGGCTCAAACCCATGACTCCAAGATTAAGAGTCTCATGCTCTGTCGACTGAGCAGGAAACCATTTTCAATGCTGTGTATGCTGCTAAAACTTTCTGCCCATTACCTGCCTTACAATGACCTGTGCTGCTGTATTTTCGGAAATAATTTATATAACTCTTATTTTGGAGGTGTTTCAGAAATCTGTGATGAGCAATGTTTATATACTGGTGGTTTAAGTACAGTGGTACCTCCGGTTACAGATGCTTCAGGTTACAGACTCCGCTAACCCAGAAATAGTACCTCGGGTTAAGAACTTTGCTTCAGGATGAGAACAGAAATCGCGTGGTGACAGCGGGAGGCCCCATTAGCTAAAGTGGTACCTCAGGTTAAGAACGGACCTCTGGAACGAATTAAGTTCTTAACCCGAGGTACCACTGTACTGGATACTGCATTTCTCATTTTGAATTTGTTGATTAATTATGCCTGATATTATCATTTTCAATGTATTTTGAAGCTTTATCTATTGATACTGATAAGGCAGGATGTAAACGATATAAAGAAAAAGGTCAGGTTCAGGCTGCTCACTTAGTGAGGAGCAAGGCCCCGTTATCCTTATTAAGACCAGCTTCTGAATAAGTGTGCTTAGGATCCTACTCGTTCCATGGAAGAAGAAGCTGATCACTTTTTGAGGTTTCAGTAACCACCAATAGAAGGAAGTGTATGTGAATGGCTAATTAGAAACAATGGGTGGAACCTAATGTCACACTCTTCCCATTGTTCCTTCTGTGCATGCATGCATTCTTGCTTGCCAGACAGAACAATGCCCCGTCTCCTCCTCAGGCATATTGTTCTAGGTGATCTCTTGACCCCCAGAGCCAATATTGGGGTGTAGCAGGAGAGGGGAGGGAAGCCCCGCTGCACAAGCAGAAGTCTTTGTGCAGGGCTGCTGCTCACAGGACTGGTTAGATGCCTCCCCACCAATGGGTTGTTCCCAACTAAGTCACACAGCGTAAACCCACTGAAACCAATGGTCGCGGCTAACTTAAGTTCATTTATTTCAGTGACTCCTTAGTTGGATACAATCCAGTGTATTTCAGATGAAAACATAGAAGAAAATGTCTCCTTGCAACAGCAGGGAGATTAACTGCTCATATAAACTTTACATTTGGAAAAATTGGAAGAAACTGTGATCTCAGCAAAACAAGCTCTGTTGCTAAGAGTTTATCATTCAGCTGATGACTGGAAGCAGATTGTTCAACATATTCCACACCTTTCAAGCAGCTTTTAATATTTTTTTTTTTTGTTATATACATTTCTCCTCTGTTTTTCTTTTTAACACAAACTTGTGAAATGTTCTCTTCTGTAGCTTTCCCATGGCTCATTTATTTGCCACCAGGGAAGCTTTGTTCCTGATCTAAACCAGCAGCATGAGGATAGAATTACTACAATAAACCATGCTGCACGGGCAGAAACTTTTCTGCTGGAATACTGAGTTAATGTTGAGTTGCAATACTTTTCCACCATTTTTTTTTTTAGAGAAAGAGACCTGGCTCAGTGGTGGAGCAGATTCAACCCCTAGGTTCAACCTCAAGTAGAAAAGGGTCTGTTTTTGATAGCCTGGAGGCAGCTTCTTAACTTTCTGTGGCAAAAATGAGACATCTGGGATGGAAGCATGGCAAGGAGCTGCAGTTTATATCACAATCCTATCCTCATTCAGAGGTGGTTCCTTCTGCCAGCAGTAATGTAATGTTACATCTGCAAAATAGGTGACATAAGTAAACACATTCCCAATGGACACCCCACCCCACCCCAGCCATGGCAGAGGACTCCAGCTAAATTAGGAGCCAATAAGGGTATAGTACCTATAGGTTTTACATGTAGGCTCTTCACCAGTGAGCAACTGGAGCCTCTGACAGGAAGAGCTGAGGGTGTGTGTTGTCCAAGGGAGGCTGTAAGATGATGGATTTCTGACCATCATTATTGCATTTCTGCCATCACTGTGTGTCGAATGGTGTCTTCCACGCACCAGTGTGTCACCTGCTAGCATTCTTCTGGCTGTGGAATTGCCAGGGAGCTTTTAGGGTGGCTGTTGTTTATGGTTATGTTCCTGTTTGTTTGTACTACTGTTGTGCTTTTGACTTTGCTCTTGTTTAGCATGGGATCCTAATTCCATTATGTAGGGGACCACAGGTCTGGACTGACCTCCTTTCATAATGCATGGGGTGTGTGTGTGTGTGTGTGTGTGTGTGTGTTACAATATGTCGAAGATGACTGTATATTTTTCAAGCTAGAGCAGCTGGTAGTCTTTCAGTTAGTAGTGTTTGTTTATTAAATCACATGACTGTGGGGGCTGGTGAGCAGGATGGTTCTGCTTTTGTTTTTTAAAAAAGTGGATTTGTTATTGAACTCCTCAAGAGATCGGCTGCTACATATGTTCAGATAAGTCGTCTCTTCGGTGAAGCTGTACCACTGAGGAGAAAAATAGCTCTATTTAAACTGAAAACCTCTATCTGGAAAATGAATATTTGGTAGTTGTGCCTGTTTGGAGACATTGCTCAGTAAATGACTAAGGGTAAGCAATCGTGTCTAGGATGTGTCGGACGACAATAGCACACTTATGAGCAATTCCTGGTTCCCTTGAGAACTCAGCCGAACTTCCACCGATTTCAGTGTCTGCTCAAAGGTCACTCCCATCCCCCAATGCTGATGTTACATCACACCAGCAAGATAGTTGACAAAATCAAAAATGCAATTGCCGAAAACAAAAAGGGGACCTGGTTGGCTGTCCCCTTCCCTTCCCTTTTCCCCAGAAGCCATAGCAGAAGATAGCAATCTGATTAACTCAGGAGCCAACCCACAAGAGGAGTATCTAAGCCCCCATAAGGGAACATGGACCATCTAACCAAGAAGCCCAACATGTGGTTATATCAGCTTTTCCCAGTCTAGCACCCTCTAAACTCCAGTAGAGGCTGGTCCATCAGGGGAAATGGGGCAGTGCCCCACCAGCATCCATTTTTATTCTTCCAAGCCCTCCTGCTTTATTACTTACAGATTCCTCACCCTTATACTCAGTTTTGCCCTTGTAAAACTCAGCAGGGAGAAAGATGGGGACAAGAGTAGAATTTGTTGCCTCCGTTTCTCACTGCATCTTGCTCAAACTGTCATCGTCTCTGCCTCTGCCTACTGCTGGCCTCTCTGCCTTACAGCCTACCAGTGCCAATGGGCATTCCCTCCCCCTTCCCCAGTGTTGGACTCTGCCCTGTTCAGGGATGATAAGAACTGTTGTCCAACAACAGCAAGCAAGACACGAAGGCAATAACCCTTTCCAGTTGTTGCTCCCCAGTAACTGGTACTCAGAGACTTAGACCACATTCACACCACACATTGAAAGCTCTAGATAGGCTCAGGCCACTGTGTTTATTGAGGTGGCAGCCCAGCTTTGGAATCACCTTTCCAGAGAGTCCTACCTGTGTATCCCACTATTGCAGTGTAGGCACATAGAAAACAGCAGTTTTTAGTTGTCTTATGCATTTTAAGTGTTTATGCATTTTAAGTGCTGCTCACCCATATGTATTTTACCTGTTTTATTACTGCTTTGGACATTTGCAATGCTTCGGCTTAAAAAGTGCTTTTATTGCACAATTAACACATTTTATAAAATGAATTCTAGATCAGACCACCTACTGGGTAACAACATAGCCCTGATCTAGCCAGTGGGAGAGCTTGAGGCACAGGCTTCTCAATCCCACTTGAAACCAATGGGGCTTCTTTTTGACTGAGTTGTGCCCATATTGTATCATTCAGCTAGGGCTCTTGAATAAATGTAATCTCATTTTACCTGCTTCAGGTCAATTTTCCGTACAGATGGCTGAGCTTAAAAGCTCTAGCGGAGCTTGCATGAATCACAAGAAGACAACGCTAACCTCCAATTTCATGGTTGTTTATAGCACACTTATTATCAGAGCCTTTTACCATCACTGCACATGAATTTATATCTCAGAGGTCTAGAAAATTATTTTGCCTGATTAGTTTTAGGTTGGCATGTCAGAAAACATCAAGGAATAGTCCATTTGACTCTTTTTAATTTTGTTTTCAGTGCTTGAGGAGGGTATATGTGTGTGGTAGCAAGAAATCACATTCTTGAGTTGGAGGACATGTTTTTTCTGGTTTGGAAGAACCATGTTTTTGATAAAGTTTAGAGATATCCTGTCAGCTTTTGGTAGGCAGGAGGGCATGTCTTGCATGTCTTAGCAAGACTGTGAGAGTGTGCAAGATCCTGGAGATTAGATCATAGCCTCTGCGTTCCTCCCCTGGTTCTCCTGCTACTGCAGTAACCTGAACTAAGCTATAGCTTGGCTTCACATCACTGCAAAATGTCTGCGGCCCTCACATCATACTTTCCCATTTCTGTTTCATGTGTCTCCTCTGGGACACTGAGCTTCGTTCACGCTAAGGGAGATTTTTTTAGAGTCTCTGCGGAAATTTGCTTGCAGTAATGAGCTACTCTTTGTACAATGGCAAAATTCCAAGGGAAGCTTAAGCATGTGTATAACGGGGGGAAAAACCTGTATCATGTGATGTTCACTGGAAAGCAGAATTTTGCCCAGGGCGGTTATTTGCTCTTTAGTTTTAACATAAACATTTTAAAATGACATCTGTTCTGTGTTATGTTTTCAAAGCTGAATTCTCAGTTAAACTAGTATTGCGCAATATTTTCACAGCAAATATATTTCATCTATATATTTATTGATTAATTATTAAATTTACATCCCACCCTTCCTCCCAAAGGAGCTCAGGGCAGCAAGCAACAAGAGATAAAACAATTTAAAAAATCTTTAAAAAAAATAATTTCAAGACAGATGCAGACTGGGAGGAAGGGTTTCAGTAGATGCTGAAAAGACAACAAAATGGCACCCATCTAAAAGTCCTACAATGTGCAGGACTAAAAGTCCTACTTTGTGCAGAACAGGCCTTCAGATGTTATCTACAAGAGACCCTCACCTGTAGAGCACAATGATCAACTGAGTATATAATGAGTGAGATGATCTTTCAGCTATCTTGGTCCCAAACTCTATAGGTATGCATTCCCCAAAACCAGATACAGTACATCCATTAAAGAATTTTCAAGTGAACCTGTGCCCAAGACTAGGCGATACAGTGCAGAGGATGTTGTCAAGTACAGTGGTACCTCTGGTTATGTACTTAATTCATTCCGGAGGTCTGTTCTTAACCTGAAACTGTTCTTAACCTGAAGCACCACTTTAGCTAATGGGGCCTCCCGCTGCTGCTGCGCTGCTGCCGTGCAATTTCTGTTCTCATCCTGAAGCAAAGTTCTTAACCCGAGGTACTATTTCTGGGTTAGCGGAGTCTGTAACCTGAAGCGTATGTAACCCAAGGTACCACTGTATGCTAAACTAAAATCAGCCCACCTCATCTGGTAAAATAGGGTTTGTCGCCCACCCTGGCAACCTTCATATCTGCCACATTCATGGAAGAAATGAAACATTTTCAGGCAGAAGTAGCAAGACTATTGCAAGTTGAAAAGGAGGAGGCTGGGGTGGGGGGGATGCACAAATATACCCAGAAGTAGCAATGCTACTTCTGGATGCATTTCTGCATTCTCCCCCACCATCCTTTTCAACTTGTAATTTTCTCTCCGTAATGTTGTGTTAGTGGAAGTGAGCAAATTGTAGAAAGCACATTTCTGTCAGGAAAGCAACACAGACAAAGGATATGCTTTTAATTTGAAATTCATGTTATGCTGGGGTTATATATTTATTTAGAACATTGTTACCCCACTTGTCTCATAGAGACTCAAGATGTACAAAAACAAATGCATTGTACTGCAAAGTAAAAGATTTCTGTTGTAAATTAAACTCTTCATAGCTTTCTCCTGATACACGACTACTTTTCCTCAGAGAATCTGCTGCCAGCTTAATCTGGTAATGGTCAACTGCCTCAGGGTGCTTGCAGACATGGACGATTTAGCAGCACCCAATCATTCTGTTCTGCTTTAAGCTGGAAGCAGAACAGCAATTCGGATTCTAGACTTCTATCTGTATGTCACCAAGTGGGCAAATGTTGGAGGGGGAGATTTTCATTGGGACCATTGCGGGGGGTGAATGGTTAAATACTGTCTTCTCCCACCATTGCTATTATTATGATTCCCTCCCCTGCAATTTAGGAGAGAGAGAAAAAAAGGGGGGGGTAGGTTATCAAGCCAAGCCTATTCAGAAAATGAAGGGTTAAAGTGATAGAGTTGATTCCAAGAAAGGGAAGACAGGCCATAATGAAATAAATGTTTGAGTCATCTATCCAGATCATTACTGGTCAGAATAGTAGTGCAACAAGCCATGTACACCTGGGGAAATTGCGCAGTCATTCAACTTAGTTTTTAAAAAGATGGTTTTTCTGAGTGTTGGGGGAGGGGCTGAAAAGGAAAAAAATGGAGCCCCATCTCCTTCATTTCCTTAGCTAGATGAGACTTTTGCTGGCTGAAAAAGCAATACTGGGTCAAGGCACTATGACGTTTGTTAGAACTTTAGCTGAAAAATGAGGAATCAGAGTGGTACCACACTGGTTTTGCCAGGAAATGGATGCACTGTTCTGATACAGGAAAAAGAGAAGCAGTTTCTTGGGGGTCTTCCTTTCTATACCACTTGGAAAGTACAAGATACCAAGAATCTGTGCAAAATGTTTCATGTAACTTATGTTAACCTTAACCACATTTCTTTAAATTGTGAAATAAACAGTCCCTTTCTTCTTAAATGCACTGGAGGAGGAAGTGCAAGTGAGCCAGAGATACACTTCCCTTTTTTATGACTCCAAAGTAAAGTTCAAAGGGAGGAATCATCCCTTTATTGGAAGCACTCACAACCGTCTGTGGAAATTTCCTGACTCATACAGCTTAGGCCTGACCTTGTGATAATGCCCGAAAGCCCACTTATTTGCATATTCCAACCATTAACATAATGTATCTTTGTTACTATCTGTATAAATGCTGCAAAAGTAGACCCATTTCTACTTGGCACATTCTCTCTAGAACTTCTATACCCCATACATATAGTAGCTGAGGTTCCTCTTGTTTCTTCCATATCCTTTGAGAAAATATGAGATGCATGTAAAACAAATACGTAAAAGAATATATGCTTTGTCCAATGTCACCAAAGGCCCCTTTACAGTTGTCAGGGGTAATGCGTGATAGGAATGATATAATGGTTTTGATCCATCCAAGGCAATGGCTAGAGAGCAACATCAAGCCTCGCCAGTTTACCACCACCAGGATGTAAATGAAGCTTGAAGAAGAGAAGCTGAACAGGAAAGTTGAAGTTGGAAACTGATCCTCTTTGAAGCAAACCTCACGGTGTGGAGACTTGATCTGGTTCTCCCTTCCTCCCACTTCATCAATAGCCCTCGTCCTCAGTGAGGAAGGAACATGCAGCCATCACAGTTAGATGGTTTACCAGTAGGCTGCCATTTAATCTCTTTACATGTTGCCATGAAGAAAAGCAAAAGACAGAGTTAGAAAACATGGTGTTGGTCATAAACAACAATTTGAGAGAAGTATTTATGCTGGGTTTGCTTCTAGAATAATCACAATAATGTGAAAACCTATTTGTTGGAGGTGTAATTTCGTCCAGATCAGCTTTCAGTTGCTATCCTCATAATTATCTCCCTGAACTTCTATCTAATTTTAAATTGTTTTTGGACCAGTTGTGGCCAGCTATCATCAACAGATTACATCATGTAATTGCTCCAAAGCCTAAATCCAAGGGCGAAGATGCTAGAAATTCTGAATGGTAGGTGTTTGGAAAACTGAAAGCTCAAATCTGTATGATCTGCTTAGGTGTAGTTTTTAACACACTGGACAAGTAGTGAGATACAACTACAAGTATTCCCACCATTTTGCTTCTTCCCTGTACTGCCAGTTGGGGTTTAGGATGGCTTTGCAAGTCTGAATCCAAAACATGCATTTAAATGGAAGGGTTTTTATTTTGTTCCCTTTTTGAAGCAGGCTCCAGGAATTTATTTGTGTGTGAGGTTTTACTCATTACTTTTATTTTATTTTCACATATGTTTTGCTTTTGAATATATTTCTCAAATTTTATGAGGTGAAAAGCAGGTGGAGTTTATGAGGGAACGTAACTTGCTTTTCATCGAAACTCTTACAAATTAGTTTAGTCACCCTGACTGGTCTTCACGGCCATTCTTCTCATCCGCCATCTGGAAACCTGGGCATTGGTATATAACAGGGGTGGGCAACCTCCAACCCATTGCCCAAATGTGGACCACCTAGGTAATCTGTCTGGTTCTCAGGTCTTTCCCTACGCCAAGACCTCCCCAGCCCAGTCTGTGCCCTCCTTGAGTGCTTTTAGCTGGCTGAGAAGTGTCCTTGAACAGTGATACTACCTCTTACATGCTTGGTTGAAGAGGCCTGCATATATGGGTGTAGAAACCTCTGACGTGTGCTTGGAATGTAGCTAACTGCACAAATCCAACTGTACAAAGAATCCATTGCTCCATCCACTTTTACCCCATGCCTTAAACAGAGCTGGTATGTGGCTCACAGAAAGTTACCCTGGAAGAAATATAGCCCTTGGGAGGAAAGTTTCCCTACCTCCTGACATACAAGATGTTTCAATAAGTGTCTGTTCTAGTTCAGAAACCAGAAGGGGGTCCATGTCATGCTTCCAGTACTGAATGACGGCCAGCAGAACTTCAGCATGTTCTGTTTTCTGCTTGCAGAATTTAAGCAGTTTGCAGAATTTGTTAAAAGGTTTGCTCACTGCTTGCTTCCACAGCATGCAAACCTGGGATGTACAGATGTTTCACTATATTTTGACCAACCAGGTGATCTTAATCTTCAGGGTGGTGGTGCTTTTAAAGAACCTGCATTTACTTAGCTACTCTAGTCCACTTATTAGGTTCATAAATAAATATCACCAGAAAATGCTCTTTTGCACTGGTGCTCATTAGTACTTGAAGTAATGAACTTCTATTAGCAATGATCTGCAAAGAGGTTTCTCTGCTTTAGGATGCCCCCTCTTTCTACCCCCTCCTCCCCCACTAAGCATATTGGTTTTCACCAAGCATTTTGAAGGACCCTTTTAATTTTGCGCAGATATACAAAGCCCCATTTTCTATGTAAAGGTTAATCATTCCAGAATTCTATCTCAGCTCTCCAATAAATAATACATGATAAACAAAGCTGTGTGAAGCTGAGCATGAAGGATGCTGTTGATTAGTCATTTATCTTTTAAGCAGAAGACGGGCTGTTTTCCTGCCAATTGGCATGGCGCACTCTAGGCAGTTGTCATATGAAAGTTCTGCCCCCAGGTGTGTGTAAAAGCATTAAAAAGAAAAAGAAAAGAAAAGAAAAGAAAGGAGATCTGTCCTAGTGTCTTGTAACTCATCTAAACACAGCCCACTAGCCGTGGGCAGGGCCAGTTCCTGCCAACCTAGCAGTTCAAAAGCACATCAAAGAGCAAGTAGATAAATAGGTACCACTCTGGCAGGAAGGTAAATGGCATTTCTGTGCACTGCTCTGGTTCGCCAGAAGCAGCTTAGTCATGCTGGGTCAGGGGTCCCTTTACCTTTACCTTAGATGTCAAACAAATGTTGCAGTGCAGATGCTGGTGTGCCTCACATGATCAGAACTATGTGCATGTGTGATACCTGCTGCAGTGCATGGCCTGGGCTGGGCTAGCTGCTTCTCTGTCTTTGCTTGGTTAGCCTTTCCCAGCAGCATAGTCTGTGAAGCACTGGGAGAAGAGAGCTAGCCAGCCTAGTCAGCAATGAGCAAACATTTCCTTCATTCCTGGGCAGGGCTGCCAGCAGATAGGTAGAAGAGGTTGGATTTTGGTGGGCCCAAGCCTAGCAGAGCTCCCAGATTCTTAGGCTTTTTGTTTTTATTTTTAAAGGAAGTTAATTGGACATTTCTGAAGCAAGTGAGAGGACAAAACACAAACACAGCTGTAATGCTTTAGCACTAGGTAGGCTAAGGACACTTAATCACTGTTGCCAAGCAATTAGAGGAAGGGATGTTGACCACTCTCACCTGGAACTTGGGAATGGCCTCTCCCAGAGCAAAGGGAAAAAGCAGAAGCTGAATGGGGGGCAGATAATGGGGTAAGTTTGTTAAAGCACTTTACTCATGTCCAGATTGTTTTATTTGCTCTACAAGTGTGTTGCCTTTACAGAATGGTCTGATTTCCTTGGAAGTTACTCCCTTGAAATAAATGTGCATTCCTTCCTACTGAGAAAAAATAGTGATATTGCAGACCCCCACTTTGATTTCCTATGCCCTCCCCCCAACCACTACTACTCTGCTTGTCATCACTGGGTGTCATTGATTAATATACAGTAAACATCTTTAGCATGCATTAGGGACAGGGGAGAAATTTGACCTGGATCTCATTTAAAGGTGACCCTACCCAATTCATTTTCCAAAACAATATGCAAACCAAAATGCACTTCTCCAAATGTTGCAGTGCAGTTCTCCAGCCAAGTAATGTGTACAGAAATGCATATACTATATGCAAAGTGTAGATAAAAAATGCATGTATTGGTGAAAATAACACAAAAATACATATTAGGGAAGTTGTTTTGCAAAAATTGCACAATTTTTTGTATGTGGGTAGGCAAAATTGCATGCAAAAATTATGGATATTATGAAAAAAATTCACAAAAATGCTAATTTATGCTAGGACTTAAAAAATTCTCAAACTGAAATCGACAGATTCATCCTTCCCTAGTGTGCATGTGAGAATGCAGAGCACATACTAAACATTTCCTATGCATAACGCTTTCTGTTTCATGTATATTGATCCCATTCATTGCTTTCCACCCAGACCTTCCTAGTGGTGCCTTGTCTGCTGGTTACCTTACTTCTAAAAATAACTGTTTCTCCCCTAACTGTGACCTGTGCTGGTGAGTCACTTTGAATTCTTGGTGGGCAAAATTTGGCCTGCGGTTATTAACTGAAAAACCTTAGTATGAAAGTATTCTTCCATTTGCCTTAGCATTGAAGGAAAGTGGTGCAGAATATTTTATTGTGGAGCAGGGATGACCTTCTAGGTTCTGCTAGACCACTGCTCCCATCACCCCTGACTATTGGCCATGCTTGTTGGGGCTGATGGGAATTGGAGTCCGCAACGTCTGGAGCACCATGGCTTCCCCATCTCCATTGTAGAGGATGGAGCAGAGTAGGGCTGAATAATGCAGGATTGTTTGCTCTGAAAGAGCAATTGCATAAGTTAATGTAATCCAGTTTGCAAGGTGAAAGGTATTTTCTATAGCTGTACAGTACATACACTGAGTTCTGCTACAATTACAAAAATAACCTGTCAGGAAGAACAGTGGGGCATAGTTACAGCTGAGTAAAGGTTCATAATGTACTCATAACATCCTCTCACTCTGTGGTTGTGGTTTGGTGTGCTCGCACATGCTCTTTTTTGTGTCAATATCTCATTATTTCCACAGTGGTTGATTTTGCTGCTGTATACCAAACGTACATTACACTGTTTTGTTATTCTGCTCATTTGACCAAAATGTTGTTAGTGATTGCTGAGAGAGGATTTTCTTCTTCTTTGTGATTGATTTGATAAAGTAATGATAATTCTAATAATTTCCTGAGGCTTTTAACAATGCTGTGCTCTATTTTAGTGTTTGTCTTATTGGCATTTAGGAATCATTCATAATCTGAAACAATACTGGATTAAAACTGTGCAATCTGTTTTGGAATACAGTTGTTGCATCTAGAACTTTGTGACTAGCCTGATGGATAAATAAGTCAACTTTGGTTTCCCAGAGGTTTTTTTTCCTCTCCTTCCTTCCAGTGTTAAGTTCAGTATTTCACATTTCTGCATCAGTTTGTGATTTTCTCTCTCTTAAATTCCTCATAAAGGTTCGTCAGCATTTTAGCACACATTTCTTCTAATACAGGTGACTCACAACTTATTTTACTGACACAACCACAGCTTTGTGCACGTGTGTGTGTGGGAGGACAAATTAAAAAAATGGAGAGTGGGGGAAACCCAATTTCCATTTATTTACTTCCCCCACAAAACTGTGCAAAGCTGCAATTGCAAAACTCTATAAGCATTTTTTAAAAGATTATGTTAGGAATATTTATTACAATGATGGGGGAACCTCAGGCCCACAGGACAAAGACAGTCCATCAGGTCTCTTTATCCAGCCCTTGGGACTTTCCCCAGGCTACACCCTTCTGCTTAGGATGGCTAGCTCAGTTGGTAGAGCATGGGACTCTTAATCTCATGGCTGTGGGTTTGAGTCCCACACTGGGTGCAAGATTCCTGCATTGCAGTGGCTGGACTTAGATGATCCTCGTGGTTCCCTCCAATTATGATTCTATGACCTTTCACTGCCTCTGTGCTCCCCTGGATTGGTTTTGCCTGGGTGGAACATGTTCTTGAACTGTGATAATTCCTCTCGCTTACCTGGATAGAGGACGGATGCTATGTGTGTGCAGAAGAAACCTTTGACTTTTGTGTGGCTGGAATGTAGCCTACTGCACAAAGGAAAGAGTTTTTATCCATTGCTCTGCCTGCTCTTGCTTCTAGCCACACCAATTTTTGCCTCTGCCCTTCCCGCTACTGGCCTGAAGCCTCTGGAAAGTTACCCATGAGCGAAAACAGGCTTTGGGCTGAAAAACATTTTCCACTTCCATTTCCAATTAATTGCAAGCTACAAGAGTTTTAACACACCTTAGCACTGTGCATACAAATGTATGTTTCCCTGCCTGTAGGTTCACTGGCCAGGAATTTTGACTGGCAATTTAAAGCAATGCAGTTTTTCCATAGGAGACATTGAGGATAATTTCAATGGAACTGAATGGGTGTGTCTAACTGGGAAAGGCATTTGTGACATGCATTTGCATGTATAGTGTCTGAACTCTTCCATTGTCCATTTGAAGCATAGAAGTTCTAGGCAACTCCTTGCTTAGGCGTTGTCTTAGCTCTGAGCCAGCAAGGTGGGATTGAATTAAAAAACAGTACCATAGTTACTGTTAAACTATCCTGTGTCTGCTGGGCTTGTTGTTTAAATTAAGAAGCTGCTGTGTTGTACACCTGCTGTTTTTCCTCAGCCTCATCACTTGTGAAATCACAATTCCTCTTTTGTTTGGTGTTAACCGTTTTCAAGCAACCTAAAAACATTTTAAAGAACACAAGAAGAGCCCTGCTGGTTTAGCCAAAGGTCCAACATCACCAGTATCCTATTTCCAGAAGTGATGCCCATTTAGATATTGATAGGAAGTCTACAGTTGGGGCCCATGGGATTCATTTTTTACATTCTGTACCGTCTCAAAAATCCAAACAAAAACTATTTCAGACTTAACAGTTAATTGCCATCATTATGTTTTAATTTGATGAACATATTGATACATTCGGTTATCATGCTGTTCATTGTTTCTAAGTTTTACTCTTTTCTTAAATGTAACCTCTGGAAGTTTGCATTGCCAGAATCAATCATTATTTATTGGAACACTTCAATGGCCATTGGCTGAAAGCAGTAGAAGCTGATGGACAGAGGAGGCAATAAGCTTTCTCCAGCAGTTGGTATCCAGGTGAATAAAAGCAGGCTCTGGTCAGGGAAGGTGCCATTTAGCTATCCTAATGAGGGATGGAGTGACCTGTCAATTACAGTTCTCATTTTTCCTGTCTTAAATTTGCAGTGATGTGCAAATTTTATTTTTAAAAAAATCTTCATCAAAATTCTTCAGCATTTAGTGTGAATTTCTCTTAATAAACATATTTTTATATGCAGTTTTGACTCATACACATTTCTGAAGCAATTTCTCCTAATATAAATTTTCTGTGTTCTATTCAACAATATGTTCCCTTTGATGCACACTCCTACCTAATATATGCATTCTTGTAAACACTGATTGGTTGGAGAACTGCATTGCAAAATTTGGATAAGAGCAAATTTTGAAGGAAGGCTGTGTTTTGGTTTCCATATTGTTTCAGAAAGTGCAAATTTGATAAACTGGGCTTTAAATGCAAACTGAATCAAATTGGATTCAAGTTACAAGAAAGAAGATTTTGACTAAACACAAGGAAGAACTCTCTGACAGTAAGAGCTGTTCGACAGTGGGATGGATTCCCTCAGGAGGTTGTGAGCCTCCTTCATTGGAGGTTTTTAAGCAGTGGTTGGATGGTCGTCTGTCAGGGATGCTTTAGTTGAGATTCCTGCATTGCAGGGGTTGGACTAGATAGCCCCCAGGGTCCCTTCCAACTCTACAATTCTATTATTCTCCGTCCCTAATCCTAGCTAATAGTTCTGACTGATAGACCTGTCCTATTTGTCCTTTCAATGATAGGATGTTTTTAAAGAGGAGGAAGATGGACATGCAAAATAGAAAATCAAGACTGAGTTCCACATTGAAGACGTACTTTAGCAGGTGAGTCCCAGTTCTTAAGAGATTAAAAGAACTGTTCTACATAACCCCTAGGAATGCTGTGCCAATTGTTCAAAACAGGCCAGCAGGTTTTTACACATGATGGGAATGGTAGTCCCCTAAGATAGCTTGAATGTCTTCTAGCCTGGTATAATACTTCCCTTCATTTTCTTAATTATGGCTGCCTTTACTGGGAGATGCTGTTGTCTGGACAGACCCATAGTGACTCCATGGAGTGCCTGTCCTATTTACAGGAAAGTGTTCATGACCCACCAAAACAACCTCTGTCAAATGTTTCCCACACATTTCCTTTTTGTGCATCATTACAGCTCTGTTGACAGGCGATATATCCCTTTGTGGAGTGTTTGAAACAAAGAGTATTCCTGTGTTGCATCATACTGATATATACAATGTGGTAGTGTGTATATAGCCTTGTTTTATTTATAGAGGTTTTTCTGACCTAGAACTGTGAGCCTTGAAAGGTACGGTAACTCATTCTGGCAGATAACCACTACACCACATGAGAAGTAAGCAGAACGTAGGAGTGTCTCAATAGGAAGAAGTAGAAAATGTGAAACAAGTGACCTTTATATATTTGGAAAGGGAGAGTGTCTCAGGCATGAGATGCAGTTTATGGCTATCTATGAATCAGAGTGCTGGTATTGTGCATCCAAGAAAATTCAGTTTCTGTGTAAAGAAAGATGGGTACGTTGTGAAAATATTATATTCATTCCAGTTTTGTGTGATGCACGAGGTATTTAGGCTTTCAAAAACAGCCAAATAGAGAGAGCGTTAGTAAAACATGTTTTGTGACTATTGAAACTGAATACTGCACTCAAGAAGATGTATGTTAAAGGTTTTTATATGGCTTCCATTTTACCAGAAGGGCTCTGGAACAAACCGATTTTGACATTTTCTATTTCTGCATCTGCACTAGTTCTATGATAATGATACCAAATTCTCCACCAAGAAAGTCCTGTGTTCTGAGCAAGTTGAAGTTACTGCGGTTTTATAATTTGCTGGAAGTTGCCCAGTCAGGTGGGTGACAAATAGCTAGACAGGTAGATAGCTAGATAGATGCTGCTGTTAGGAACATGGGGGACTGACTTATACTGAATCAAGCCACTGGTCCATCTAGCTCAGTATGATGGACACTGGCTGGCAGCATGTCTCTAGGTTTTCAGACAAGAAACATTCCCAGCCCTATTTGTAGATGCTGGAGATGCTAGAGTGATACAAACTGTCTGCTCTACCATTGAGCTATTGGCCTTCTCCCTATTCCTCCCCATTACACAGAAGGAGGAGGAAAGAGGAAGCACATGGAACTTTACCCCAAGAATTCTGGGAACTGTAGTTCATTAAGTGTCATGGGAATTGTAGGTTTGTGAGGAGTAAATTCTTTGTGGTGGAGGGATGTGCTTTAAATATATGGTGTGTGTACAGAACATAGTTCAGTTAAAGCAGGATATGCTATTAGAGGCCTGAATGTAGCATTAAGGAATCTCCCTGTTAATATGGAATTTTTGTCTCTCTTCAGCAGTCTCTAATGCGCTGACTCTTCTCACAAAGAAACTATGCTGGATGGTGTAATCAAATGACTTTCAGTTGCTGGGAAAAATCTAGGCTCTGAAACAGAATCCATCTTATTGAAAATTGATGCTTGGATTTATTGATATCAGCAAATCTTGCCCTTCTGGCATCTGGGCTAAAAGGCTAATGTCTTGGAAGCTGAGGTGGAAAAATTTCCAGAATGGGACTATAAACCACTCTAGGAAATAAGTGCAGGCCCCCAGAGCATGGAAAGGATAATGGTTTTGGCTTTCCCTCTCAAAAAATGTAAATATGCAAGTTAAGGGCTCAAGTTGCTGGAGTTTGTGTCCAGAACTCAATTGCATGCTTTTCCTATGGTTATGTAAAACCACAGCATACCCAAAGCCTTGTCTATTCCTTTCACCCTTCCTATATCAGAGACAAACAAGTGTGAGCACAGCAGACTCATATATTAGCTTGTCCCATCTTGACAAAAAGCACCAGCATTTGATCAAACGTGTTAGGAGTCTTGGGAGTTGAAAGAGTAGAAACTAAAGAAACAGGATTGTCAGATCTAATCTATCAATTTACCAGCATTTTATAATCAGGACATGGACTGACTGTAAGTTGGACCATAATTTTCTTTCATGAGTGGGCAAGTAAACAGTAATTCTGCACTCCAATTATCTTTGATGATATGTTTACGTATACATTTTGGGGTCAATTATTCCCTCTCCCCCTCCCCCTTCCACATGTCTATGAATGGACCTAAGGACTAAATATTTGCAAGACCACAAACAGAGGTGTTTTCTTTTCCTATTAACTCTTTTATTTCTCAACATATGAAGTATGGATGAGGTATGGGTGTACAAGGGAGTTAATGTCATTGTGAAAACCATCAAATTCAGCAAGCTGAAGGTTAAAAGCTTTCCCTTGTCATTTTTGGCACCTAGGTTGGCTACTTGATCAGGTGTGTTTTGAGCTAAAAGTGAATATGGTATTAAGGAAACTAAAATACCATCTTAGCTTTCAAAATAAGACACCAGGAGTAGAATGCACATTTAACTCAAGAAAATGAACCAAAAAAATTATTAAACATTTCAAAATAAAATATTATTACTAAAGGAAGTAAAATATAGAATACACATTTAAAACAGCACAATTAACAAGAGAATAAAATGTTAACCTAAACATAGAACTTATCTGCTGCTTTTGCTGTCAATGGTGGTTCAGGGCGACTGTCGGCTGTGGGAGCTTGGTTTCAATGGCTCTGATCTGCACAAAGTGACTTTCTGGTGGCAGAGCAAGGAGAGGGGCTTGGGGACTCTTAGTGTGGGTAGAAATTCAACTGCATTGGTGGTGGTTGCTCCCCTTTGGACTTGGTGGAGACAGGGCAGCAAACTGTACTGGAGCCAGAGGTCAGAATAGGTGGAGCCATCACTTTTTCTCCTGGTCCCACTCCTCTTTTATCAGCAGCCCCTGTGGAGGCCATGTTGCTTCTGCTTCAGCAATACTTCTTATTCTATATGTTTGGGGTGGATGAAGCTACTTCAGACTGCAGTGGTAGGGGCCCTGTTGAGATGGTCTTTCTTTGGAGGCTTACAGCATCTGATGAATTCCTGAATGCTCTGGGGCACTTTCTGTCTGGCACTGCTGTTGAGTCTCTTGTCACATGGCAGAATGTTGAGATATGTAGAGCCATCAACACGATTGTTCCTGAGTGCTCTCGCCTTCTCTGCTGGAGCATGTAGGTCAACTTGGCACTCTAGTGACCTTCAAGGTATGTCAGCCAAGTTTTGTTTCTTCAAAGCCTGTCAAACTCCCAGCAGAATAATGTTCTCTGAAGTGGTTCAGCCAAAGCTCTCAGGTGCTCAGGTATTTGCTGTGGATGTCAGCAGATGTTAACACAAGGAAGGGCTTAGTCTTCAGACTGCAAGAAGTTTTTTGGGGGGGAGGATTGGAGGAAAGTACCACCATGATCACAGCTTTCCTTCCCACTCTACACGGGAAAGGGGAGTGACTGAGAGGGACGATACTTTGTTGTTGTTGTTGTTGTTCATTTGAGTGTGTGGGGTTGTTGAAGCGCTCCAGTTTGCCCATTGGGGACCATAAACAATCAATACATTTCATCTTGTGGGCAATAAGAGCTCTTACCTTTAAAACTCTAAAATTCCATTATATCCATGTATCCTTATGAAATTAGGCCTGTGATGAACTATGGTAGGAGGTCTGTTGGCTCAAGTAGCTCACCTAGTGTTAGGAATGTCTTCCTCTAGTCAGGGGCATATGAAGCGGGGGGCGGAGGGGGCAGGCCGCCCTGGGTGCCACTTGAGGGGGTTGACAAGATGGCTCCTGCCTCCCCCCAGCTGTAGAGCAGCTGAGGGCGCGTGCAGTCCATATGTGCAGCATCCTGTACGGTCGCTGCACATGCACAGTCTGTATGGGCTGCCACTTGCATGGCGACTGTACAGGCTGCCACACATGCGCAATTGGTATGGTATGCCGCTTGCACGACAGCTCATATGGACGCCGCGCAAGTGGCAGCCCATACAGACTGCACATGTGCGACATTCCGTATAGGGTGCGCATGCGCGGGATGCTGCACATGTGCAGTCCGTACGGGCTGCCCCGCCCCTGGTGCCGGAGAGGGTTCCTCCGCCACTGGCTCCAGTGAGAGCCAGTGTGGTGTAGTGGTTAAGAGCGGTGGACTCGTAATTTGGTGAACCGGATTCAATTCCCCACTCCTCCACATGCAGCTGCTGGGTGACCTTGGGCTAGTCACACTTCTCTGAAGTCTCTCAGCCTCACTCACCTCACAGAGTGTTTGTTGTGGGGGAGGAAGGGAAAAAGAGATTGTTAGCCCCTTTGAGACTCCTTAGGGTAGTGATAACGCGGGATATCAAATCCAAACTCTCCTCCTCCTCCAAGCAGCTTCTAATGCTATGAAAGCACCCCAAGCACTTTAGGACAGTGGTTCCTCCCGTCCATGTAATAAACACTTTCTCCAGAGGAAAAGCATAAAAGGGGGATGAAATTATGTGGGCAACAAACACTTCTTAAAACTTAATCTACAAGTTTTTCATATGCAAATACCCTGGGTATTGTAAAGCCTTATTCCAGAGCTATCAGGTTTTCTATTTGTTCCTATAGAAGAGGGTTGCTGCATAATTCATAGAATCTCTTTGGCAATGATGCTCTTGAGGTATGTAATTGGTTTCAGAACAACGAAACAACTCCTCCAAGAAACGGTGCCAAGATGTATTTCAGGAACTACCCTTTAGTTCGTTATCTTTTCAAAATGGCTTTCTTTTCATATAACACTGTCTTTTTAATAGAGGGTATAGTATACTTTCTCAATGACAATATTCTCACAAAGTGCTTTTCATAGCAGCACCAAAATTATGTTTCCACATAGTTTTCCTGAGCTGCAACCTTTTACTCACACACTAATTAAATGGTATTGACTTACGAGTAAACGTGCCCAGGATTCACTGATAGTGATCAGTGAATTTGTCCCTTACCAGTGTGATATGGATTTGCAGCATAGTGAAACCAGCATGGTGAATTCTCAGATTATTTAATGCAGAATGATCATCCTCTGAGAGGTCAGCTGGGGGGAAAAACATTTGCTTAAATTTGTATGAGAAGGTTAAATAGGGTAAATATTTAGTGCTATGATCAAGACCCATTATTATTGTTATTTATTATTATTATTTTCTATACCACTCTTCATCCAAAGATCCCAGGGTGGTTCACAATAGTAAAATACAAAATGAGAATACAAAATACATAATAACACAAAAACAAACCAATAACCTCCCCCCTCTAAAAAGCCATAGAATTTTAATCAGCTATATGCCTGGTTAAAGAGAAATGTTTTAGCCTGACGTCTAAAGAAATGTAATGGAGTTTCCAGGTAAACCTCCTTGGGGAGAGCATTCCACAAACAGGGAGCCACTGGGGAAAAGGCTCATTCTTGTGTTGCCACCTTCTGGTGCACTCTAAGGCCAGGGTTTCCAGATTGTGGTGTAGGGACCCACGTTTCATTCCAGTGGTCCATGACATGTCTGTGCAGAACACACAATTTGAATTCTGTAGGATTTGATGGAATTCCGATTGTAACCCAATGAAATACAACATAAGGAATAAAAGAAGCAATAAAAATATATAGAGAAAGAACAGGTTGTGCAAAGGGAAATACTGGGGCTACAGAAATCTGTTGCACAACCAGTCATGAGAACCATGTTGGCTTCCTGTGCCTTCTCTTGCGCAAGCCACCTCACTAACACAAGTCATTCTGCAATCAGTACACTGCTAAGGGATTTAAACTTAGTGCTATGTTGAATTCTTCCCTGTGTTTCATGGCTGAATTTATTATTGCAATTTACTTTTTGGAGAAGCTACTTATACATCAATAAACAGATCTATGACTAGACATAAATAGTGCTCTCATAATTTATTTCCACAGCTTCTACAAGCCATCAGGGCCCATAAAGAACTGCAGGTTTAAACCAGATGGGACCATCCACCTCTCTCCTCCTTCCTGCTCTAATCTGAGTAGCACTGTCTTTGCATGGTACAGCTGGGGATAAGTTGTCATCTTTTGCCGGCGTCAATACACTGATGCCTCATCCCGAGACCTGCCTGCTGCCTCTGCACGGCAATTCATTGGTTTTCACCATAAAGTTGTAGTGGAGAAATAAGCTTTCTGAAAAGGTTTTGTGATATATATATATATATATATATATATCACACCAGCTGATTCTCTTTTCAATAAACACATCATTTTTACTTCTACATAGACAGCTTGGTGGGCGTTGTTTTCTTTATTCTGGTGGTGTTATCAAGCACTGGTGTATGCAGCAGTGCTGATAAGGAAAGAGAAATGTCACCCATGAGACCGTCAGGGATTATTGTTATTCACAATTGTATAATGAGACAGCCGATCACCTAGAACGGGAAAGTATTCTATTGTTCTGGCTGGGCAGTTGCTATTATTTCTCTACCAGGACACTGGCGCGGCGGATGCATCTGGCTTTATGTGCGACAGATTGAAATTTCCTTGTTCAAAGAAGTTCGACAGTGCTGACCAGGGGAGGTCTCTTGATGTAGTTTCTTTGAGGAGGCAGCTGAAAGGAGCAAAGATGTAGGGATAAATGGAATGAATGAGCTCAAAGATTCGGAGGCTCCCCCCCTTTTCTTTTTACAGAACACTGAGGCAGAAGATAGAATAAAAAGTCAGGTGTTTAGAGCGCAGTTCTTTCATGAGCCATAAGTATTGTGTAGCAAAATGCACCTTGAATTTTCAAGGTCCATTTTTTTACCTTTATCTGAGGAACGTTTAATAAGGCCTCATCTCAGTGATTCTCCACCTACCCCTGCATTCATGAGAGGAAACTGAGTGTGGACACAGTTCTTGTTCTTTGTGCTCCGAATCCTACTCTAATGGAGGGGAGTTATTGTCGATTTGGTGCTGCTCATGCTGGATGTGTTTTGTGTTGGCCACACATCTTCATCATTGATATGCCAGCCCATACATTTGACTTGGATTCTCCTTTAACACAGAAAATCCAGTAAGTAAGCTGTGATACATCTCTAGCCACCATGGACATGAAAGATCGTTATTTTCCACTAGGTGGTTTGTCATGTGTATGGTGAGGTTTCAGTTGATTCTCTTTATCACAAGGTTGGGGAAGCCATCTGGCCCACAGGCCTAAATAGGTCTGTCAAGGGTCCCAATTTTGCCAGTGATGCCTTTCAAAGCCATATTAACCTCCCATATACCTGTTGTGTGTGGCCTCAGATACGTGACAGGTAAGGACATCTTTCCAAAGGGAGAACTGGGATATTAAAGTGATTCTTTGCAAACATCAATTGCTGACAGTGTTGATCACAAACAAGAGGTTCCCAGAAACCTCCTTCATCCCACGTATATATAGTAGCATTGCCAAATATCCTGAACTGGAACTCAGTAGTGATGATGATGATGATGATAAAAAATAATGATAATTATCATAACATGTCACTTCAAATAAAAATATTTAAGTGCAGATGATGCGTGTAGGCTTAAAATCTAAATAATTTTATTCATCTTTAAATCACAAAAACTAGCTGAAACATTTATCTTTCAAATGCTATATCACGACCAATAGTTACAGATTAAATAAATAAACAAATAAATAAATTGTCCTTTAGCACCTTAGAGACCAACTAAGTTTGTTCTTGGTATAAGCTTTCGTGTGCATACAGACTTTTATTTTTAAAAAATATTTCAACTGCGTCAGACCAACACGGCTACCTACCTGAATAGTTACAGATTTCAGCAGATAAATTTTGATTTCAAAGGAGATCTCTATTTCCCTTTCTTTCCTTTATGCAAAGAACCTTCTAAATATTTTTATTATTATTCATTTCATTTCTGTACTGCTTTATATTTTTTAAGGAAAAAAAAGCAGTTTGCAGTCTATATTAAAACATCAGCTGAAACAATCCAGAATAAAACATTACTGAAGAAAGTCAAATATAAAGTATACATTCAAAGCAGCATAATTAACAGGAAACTAAAATATTATCTTAAAGATTTCAAAATAAAACATTACTAAAGGAAGTCAAATATAAAATGCACATTTTAAACAGCATAATTAACAAGAGAAGAAAGCATAGAATATATCTCCTGCTCCAATCCTGCCAATGATGATTCATGACAGGCAATGGTTGTAGAAGCCCAGGCTCAGTGACCTGGGTTTGCACTGAGAGTCAACCAAGATGGTCCCTGGGCTCCTCAGTAGCCTCAGTTTTAGTAGCTGGAGTCAGTCAGGGCCTAGGCAGGCAGGGAAAGGCTTGCAAGGCAGGGAACAGTCTTCTGGCCCTCACAGCCAAGATGAGTTGTACTAAAACACTTGGGTTAAGAATCCTGCCAGTTCCTGGAAGGAAACCTCTGTTTGATTCTACAGTGGCTGCCATTTATTCTAATTTTCAGCACTCTCTCTGTGTGTGCTCCAGTTTTTAGATCACATCCGATAATACAGTGCAAGTTGCTGATTGAAAAGAACTTAATGCAAGAAGCCCCTTTTCAGAAAGAAAATGCTTTAATGCTGGCTACAAAACAGAAACATGAGGAAAGTATCAGAGCCAGATAACACATCTTATCTGAGCATTGTTTTTTTGTTTCTACATTTTTAGAAACAAAAGGGGAAGTGGAAGGGAAAGATTACAATGACACACTTTGTTGAGTTTGGATGGAATAAGTAAACCACATGTTGAACTCAAACCATGTTTTAGCTGGTGAGTAGCAATTCCTAGCAACATTTGACTAGATAATTATGCAGTACTGTATACATGTCCTGAATAAGAAAGAACTCGTCTTAATTATTATGAGAACTTTTCTGAGTTGCAATAACTCAATAATGCCTACTAATGGATACCATACAGAGAAGCTTTGTCGTCTGCCTGAAACAACTGGACTGAACTCTTGTGTAGATTATAATGCCATGATTATAAAATAGTTCCTGAAATGTTATGCAAAAGTTGTAATGAATAAGACCTTATATTTCTGGGTAGGTTAAGGGTAGTCAATGTAGTGCTCTTCAGATGTTGTGGACTACAGCTCCCGTAATTCCTGACCATTGGCAGTTCTAGCTGGGACTGATGGAAGTTGTAGCCCAAAATTAATAGGCTACCTCTGAGGTTGGTGACAGGAAAAAAAGAAATCTTGGCAAAGTCAGATTGCAACACCTCCCTCTTTGTCCAAAACTACCAGTGTCGTTTCAGTTAACTTTTGACTGTCCGTTGTCACCAGGAACACAAGGAGCAAAATCTGTTCTAGAATTTTAAATAGGAAGGCAAAGGCAGGGGCAGACTTTGGTAATCTTTTGTAATATAGTGCTCTGTGTGAGGCCAAAGTTTGGCTCTCCCAAATGGATTGTCTCAATAGTTTGCCCTCCTCTTCTTGCCGCCCTGTGTGGGGAGACTGCCTGCACTGCCCTAGATCCAGCGCTGCAAAAGGCTAGCAAGGTTAGACCTTGTGGTCAGAGATCATATGCATGTTGTGAACAGAACGCTTGTTTCCCTCTCACTAGATCCCCCAGGGTGATCCAGTGAAGCTGATTGACAGAACATGCAGAAAAGACAAAAAGAAAGTACTGCTTGGTACAATGCCTGATTTATTTCTGGAATTTGCCATCAAAAGATGTGGTGAGAGCCAATAGCTCAGATGGTTTTAAAGGAGGGTTAGGAATGGCTAGAGCTCTCAGTGGCTACTGGTCATGGTGGCTTTATGCAGTCTTTTAGAGACAATGTACTACTGAGTACCAGTTGCCATTAAGCAAAACAGGAAAAGGCTTTTGTCTCCATATTGGGCTTGGGAGCTTCCCAGAGACATCTGGATAGCCACTGTGGGGAAACAGGATGTTGCACCAGATTGCACTTTGGTCTGATCTAGCAGGGCTCTTCTGTTCTCCTGTACATTGTGAATAATTGACTGGAAGTGATGGAGACTCTGATGACCCCCATAACAGTTGGTTCCCTTGACTGTTATCAGACTTCTGCTTTTCCTGCTCATGTCAGAGAAGACTGTGGCAGAGAGAAAGCGATGATGTCAGCCAAGTGCGTAATCGCCTTCTTCGGTATGGACACTTCTTCATTTTGTAATGTTTGCTGTATTACAAGGACTCATTTGCTATGCCTGCAGTTTCTCCCCAGAAGTTCTCTCTCCTGCTGAGAATGCGATTCTGTGTATTCAAGCTTAGGGTTTAGCAGTCAAAGAATCCAAAGCCAGAGCACATGCTTTGAATGCAGAAGGCATCAGTTGCTTTTCCTTGGTGTCTCCAATCAAAGGGCTCAGATTGCAGGTGATACAGTCCTCTGCCAGGAAGCCTGGAGACCTGCTGGTAGCCAGAGTAGTCTAGATAGGCTAGATCTGGGGCATCCAATGTGGTGCCTTCCAGATGTTTTAATACAACCCCCATCAACCTTGGCCTTTGGCCATGTTAGCTGCATTATTTATTTATGCATTATTTATTTGTCTTTTTAAAAAGCATCTGTGTACCACATAACTTCTCAGTTATGCTATAACTCATTTAAGAGGAGGTGCATGAGAATCATATTGTCAAACCCAGGTGTTTGGTGGAT